GATTGTTTGTTTCTGGCTGCCAAGGAACAAACGATCATCCCAGTTATTCCCATGTGGGAAATAATAAAGTGGGAAAATAAGTCACAATACAAAGATTCTGTCAGCTGAGGAAAAAGCTTAAAAAATACAAAATTAACTGAAAAACGATTCAAATTATCTATAAACCATTTACATAATTAGCTAAAAGTCATGTTTGAACAGGTACAGGTGTAGTTGTAAGCTTAAAGGAGTACTACATCTACTATAAAGAATGCCTACGTTGTTCTATCATAATATGATCAACTAAAAACAACCATCTCTAGAGTTTACAGAGTATGGTTGAAAAAAGGGAAAAATATCCAGTGAGCTGGGCAGAAGATGCCTTGTTGAGGTCAGAGGAGAATCACCAGACTGGTTAAAGAGGATAGAAAGGCATCAGTAACTGAAACAACCCCTAGTTACATCCAAGGTATGCAAAAGTGGTGGTGTAATGCTGGGGGATATTTTATTGGCATACTTTAGGCCCCTTAGTACCAATTGATCATCGTTTAAACGCCACAGCCTACCTGAGTAATGTTGCTGACTTGAGACTGAGAAAAGTACAAAAGTGCAAATCTAATTTTGTTAAAGTAAACAGAAAACTAACATTATGTGGATCCAGCCTCCCATTCATTTGGTGTTTCTCAATCTCGAGTAAAGCTGCTCCAGAGCCACTATTTCAAGCATACTACGTCATCGAGTGCCGCCGAAGTACTGTTCCAATGTCCAGCATACTTGGAATTCTACCGAGCCCGGCGCACTTCGTTTGGATAAATTTCAAGGCTGCACATGTGTAGACTCCGCGGTCTTAAAATCCACACAATGCTTTGCGCACGGACCAATTTCCCCAAATCTGTGGCGGAAAATGTAAGGCGGGGGCATCATATGAAGCACACCTGCACACTTGCTCGCCTGTTCCACTCTTTGTTTTCCGAATGCCAGGAAGTATTCTTGCCTCGCTTCTGAAGCAAGACGCTCGGAAGACATATGCTACCAAGCAAGTGTACTCGACATTGAGAAACACCCATTGTCTATAGAGCAGCTCCAGACTTTATATCTGATGACATCACTTATTTGGTTTCTGACTTTCCCAGGCCATGAATACACATCAAGGATTTTTATATATTTCGATGGTGTTTCCCCCTAGTTGTAAGGTTAATACAAAATTGTGGATTGGCAAAATTAAATAGTGTAAAAACATCGTAAATGTAAATAGTTTAAATAAATGGCAGTGTTGGGTTCGTCTGTCGTATGGGTCCCACTATGAAAGAAACCCACTGAAGTGTCGCCAAACTTGAACCATATTAACGATTATCCGTATTTCTCATTCCTGCCTGTTTCCTGCAGGTATCGAGGTGTGGAACCCGGCGTTCGACGTGACCCCTCACCAGCTCATCACGGGAGGCATCATCACAGAGCTGGGGGTCTTCCTCCCCTCTGAGCTGCAGGCGGCCCTCACCGGCCGCCTCACCGCCCTCTAGAGTGCTCAGCGGCACCTGCTGGTCTGTGTGCACCACTGCACCTTAACGTTCACACACTCAAAGACACTCATTTCATCACAGAACACACAGTCATAGTTGTGGACTCATTTTCTGTTGGTCACTGCACAGTCACTGGTACATGTCGGTGGTGCACACACAAGAAGACAGTGTTCTTCAGTCTCACACACACACACACACACACACACACACACACACACACACATCGCAGAGAGTCAAGCAGACACATGTGCAGTCTCCCCTTTTCTTTTACGTCCCTTTACGTTTTTTTCTGTGGTCTTTCCATTTCACCCGTGTCTTCCATCCCGTCTTTCATTCTCTCCTGCCACCTCCTTCTCTTTCTAAAAGGCTTCTGCAACAATGAAAAATGCTCAGCTGGACTCAATCCTGAATATTGTATTTGGCAAAAAAAAGACAAATGTTCAGGGCTTCTTTAATTGCAAAAAAAATATTGATCTTGAAGTAGTGTTTTTTTCTCAGCCATGTTTATTTAAATGCTGCTACCCACTTTGTAAATATACATAATCTTGACTTTAGTGTGTGTACATATGTAGAAAGCTAACCCCTGTTACTAAAAGGTACTGCTATTTTAACCAAATGTGTGGTTATTTGAATTTAAATTTGACATTCAAAATGTTATATTAACATTTACTTTATTTGGTTTCACTTAGAAACCTTTTGTAGAAGAATAAATAAACGTATGGCTCATAAATCTCACAGCCAGAGTTTTAGTGAACGTATTTCACTCGTTTTTTTTACTCCCTGCGGCAACATTTGGAAACTCTTGATTGGTCCTCGTAAGTCAGCTGAAGCCTATGAAGATACATGGCTGTGTTTATACCTCACTCCTTGTTTGTATCTTGCTATTCCCAGTTGTAATGTATCATACCACACTTGTATTCTCATAATGCAATTATATATGTAACCATACTTATGTCAGCACCATACACATATTCACCATACAGCACAGGACGCTCTGTACGAATGAAAAATCTACACAAAAAAAGGGAAATTGTGTCATCTTTGCCAGAACAGCTTTTGCTGAGATCTCAGATGTGTTATGCTGATGTGTTTCTGCTATACAGGTATCACCATTAAAGGAATAGTTCACCCTAAAGCAAAAGTTGGGTCAGCCAACTTAATTGATATTTGTGCCACTACAAAATACATATGTAGCTTCAGGCTTATCTCAAAATATCTTTAAACAATAGGTGATCGGTTCTCCCAGGTGGCCAAAATATCAATTAAACCCATCACCTGTAGTCTTGACATAATTGTGCAGATATCTTAAAAGCATTTAGAGAAACATGACGTATACTCAGAAGTTGAAAAGGGAAATCTGAGGCTAAATAGTTTGGCTATAAAATCAAAACTTTATTTTGAGGTGAACTATTTCTTAAAGATTATTCTCACTGAGTGTCTAGCCTCAGTGAGCTGTGCGACACAAGGCATGTTGGCATCAACAATCAGAATGTAATGTTCAACTCAGATGAATTTTCTTTCGTCATTCAGGACAGACAGTATTTCAGACACTTGGCCATGTTGTGGCTTTGTGCTGTTCCGAATGTGTTTCAACTGTTTGGATTATCCCTCCTCAGACTGACTTCCGCCCGACTATTCCATGAGATCAGGGCCATGGGCGACCGAGTAGTTAGACAGGACCCCTGAAGATGGAAACAAAATAAGTTTGAAGGGCAGAAATGTTTGAATTCAACTTTAATTTGCAGACTAAACAACGGGGAAATTGTTTATCCAGCACTGATAATAGTCAATTAAAAAATAATCATTATTTTGATAAAATACTCACTTCCGTTATTTTTAAATAGGACTACCAAACAGAAGTTTTGTTTTTGTTTTATATTCATCATTCATTTGTAACCCTACCTTTTTATAATGCACCAATATTGACCATAGTAACTTTGCAGAAGCCAGTTTTAAATCCTGACTGTAACCTACTATTAACACATACTATTAACCAGTAAACTGGTATTGATTATGAAGCTCCATAGAATTGTCCCAGATAACTCGATCTGTTCAGGACACACCCGCTCGCTGCACTGAATGTCACAGGGCCAGTTTTCGGGGGGGCCCACACTGCTCACTGCCTTACAGGTGCAGCACCATTATAGCTCACTGACGGAGCTGGAATCATGACCGGAGAGACAGCAGTCCTTCCTTCACCCTGCTTTCTGACCTCCCACGCTTCCCTTGTGGACTTTTGTATTTCACTTCATTAATTTAAACATAACATTTATAACCTTTCACACTCTGCAGGACAACCGAGTCACCCAGAGAAAACCCACAAAAAAAAGCTTAATGTCAAGAATAATCACTGCAGAATCCATAGTATCATTGCTGTAATATAAGCTCACTTCTTCCTTTATCTTCCTACTCTTCGTTTGTCCTCCTTTCACCCATTAAACCTCAACTCACAAAGATGCTGTTAGGTCACACATGAGTGTAAAAGTCACTTTTCTTTCCTTTTCGTTTTGTACAGTTCAAGACATCATGTGTTTGGGGGCAACTTTAGACAATGTTCCAGACATATGTAGCACATTTGTAGCGGTCAGACCCACTAGGTATTATTTTGTTTTTTTAATCTTTGAGAGATTTTTGTTTGTCTGTACATCACGATTATAACTGTTATGCTGTGATTTGTTTATTTGTTTCATGACATTGTGATTCCTAGTGAGTAGGCCATTAGTACACCACACTGGGGAGGCCTCCTCAACCATACACACTACCTCTCCGCCTGCCCACACAGGACTCAAACACTGAATGCATGAACACATGCACTCAGTGTGTCTGGCTGCAGCACAGCTGATTGACAGATTTAAGAGGGAAAACAAATCTGGACTAAACTATCCATGTTTGTACCGTGAACCCAAAGTGACAAATAATTTGTGGCGGTGCTTTTTGTTTGCCAAAGTCGCCTGTATTCAGGCCAGTGTGTTAAGTTGGGTTTCCACTGAAATGTTTCTGCATCACGCCATGTTTTTTACACCATGCTTTTGAAGCAGCAGCAATATGGTACTGTGTTGTAAAAAAGATGTTCCAACAACCTCCCAACAAGCGCCTAATAATCAGGTGCCAAAATTCAGCGCTGCTTGCCATGTATTTTCCACATGATTTCACTAAACAAAGCAGGTGTTTGTGTATTATTCTCAATAATTAGTATGGCCTGCAGTCACCATGGAAGGAGTGTTGTTCAGATGGCCTCTTTAAGTGCAAGTATGTTATTGTTGTTATTGATAATCACTTGATCTGGTTTTATTTTGTAACATGTGGAAATGGAAAACTGGATTTTTAAAAAATATATATGTATATGAATATAATGCTGTAAAGTGCAGTCATTAATTAAGAGATTTCTCTTTCACATCAATACAGAAAAATAATAAATCCACAGTGAAATTAATTGAGTTGCTTTTGTCCGTCTCTGTTTAATATACGCTTGTCACTGGGAGTCCTCCAGGGGGCGGAAAAGTCGCCAAACAGGAAGTAAACCACTCCTTCTGACAACGTTGAAGAAGAACAGTTTATTGTGTACCTCCGGTTAGCAAAATGGCTCAAGGTTCGAAGAAATGTAAAGCTCAGCGGCCAGGAATCTCTAAAAAACCCCATCCAACCAAGCCGAAAGGACAGAGGAAAGGAGGTATGTATTTAAAGTATTACTTGTAATCTAACGAGTTGCTCGGAAAATATTATATGGTAGTCAAAAAGCATTAACGCGTGGAAACAGCTGAACACGCGTGTTGGGATATTTACAATATCAAGCAGATATGAAGACATTGATTAATATTAGATGTTCTCCTTCCTCCAAAATATTATATTCATCATTAAACTAAGAGACTAGCTAAATAAAACCATGTGAAGGCTTATGCTCTGTGTCGCAGACCTTAATGAGTTGAATAACGTAGCTTAGCTCTACTTTAATTTGAACCTTAGCCAAATATACTATAACCGACGTGTTGCAGGAAAACTACTGGATACATCTTCTTAGCCTGTGTTGCTGTGTTAACTTTATGTATTATAGTGGATTTAGTGAGCAAATTAATATTAATCAGCCACTGTTTAGTAGCTGTAATGCTTACATATAACCTTTCTTTAGGAATTCAAACAAGGAAATACATTGAGGTATTCCACTAGTTTACTTTTCATATACACTCTATGGTTAATATACAGTCAGTTGGATGTTTTAGTTCAGGTATATACCTAGCTAAAAGGCTAATACCATAAGTAGTAAATCCTACTTTCATGAAGGTAACGATGTGCAGTCTTTGGTGCAACTGTTAAATGGTATTGTTTTATACAAAAAATGCTTCTTTGAATCTGTTTGTTAGTGAAGACTAACAATTTTTTTTTGTGTTTAAACTGAGTAAAACACCATCAATTGAAACATCAAACACAACAAACTATAAAAACAGAAGCCTACAAAAAGAATGACCAATTGCATTTCAGGGCCATCTCGTGTTAGACAGTTGCATTTTTAAAGTGTGTCTTTATTATTGAATTTGAAGAACTGATGGCAACAGCTTTTGGGAATATGACAGTGATGTTATTGCTTTCTTTGTTAAGGGAGGCTCATTGCACCAAAGAAGGCTCACGTGATTGAGGAACAGAAGCTGAAGAAGGTGAGGACATTTCTAACAGAATGTTTCTCACAACTCCTACATCCTGAATTGATTACATAAAAGAGCTTGACTGATTCCTTGTATAATATGACCTCCTCTGCTGCTTCCTAAAGGCTTTAGAGATTGCCATCAGGAACAAGATTGAGGTGGAAGTGACCCATAGGGCAAGCACATGCCTGCACAAGCCACTGAGTGTGGTGAAAGGAGCTGAACGGCCTGATGGCAAAGGCATCCCAGGACTTCCCCGTCCAGATACCAGCTCCAAATAGGACCGGATACAAAACCCTGAGGCTGACTGTGCTAAACTTAAGGACTTAGTCACGGGGTCATTTAACTACATTGATCCCATGACTCAGATTTAAGATGCACGCCAACTGTCTTGCTGTTTTTATCATTCCTAAATATTTGTAGCTGACTTCAGTCATACAGAAATAGACTGAGCCCCTCTTGTACAGATGTTAATTCTTGCTTTTCAGTTTACAAAGAAATGTATACATAAAAATTCTGAATGTGATCTGCAGGACTAGGCTCTGAGAATTGCATAAACCTCACTAGGGGGCACCACAGGACTCTTTACTCGTGGAATTTGTGATGGGTTGAAATGCTGCAAGAAAATATGATTTGATGATGTTTGTGCTCTACCACCCTGCAACTGTTTTGTAACATTCTTTGTATGATTGTACAGCCGAAAATGAATAATAAGAGTAAAACCACCAGTCACCGATATGAATCCTTTGAAGTATGTTCGCCACACTTTTTCTCAGGGAAGTGCTATTGCATGGAACGTGTTGACAATCACAGGTAGCTTTCCCACACAAGCCCACCTGTTTCAGTGAGCTCAAAGCCGTTAACTGAACTGGTGACATGTGGAGCCATGTGCTTCCACAGGCAGTCTATTTAAGTGTTTACACTGTAGGATTAAGTAACACTATTTTGCATGACCACCTGCACCTGGCACTTCCCACAATGCAACTAGAATGTCATCAGTTAGGTCAGGTGTTGTGCTGGTAGCAGCTAATGTAACTTTACCACAGTTGAAATTGGAAGAGTTCCCCTTTGAGGTACACTACGCATTTGGGGTCTTAAATTAAAAGCCATGAACCAGAGCATTGTACTGTATGTCACAATCAGGCGTGCACAGACATTTGGAGGGGCTATTGCTCTAAACTAGAAAAAGGGCCTCCCCCCACCCCGCCGAAAACGTAAGAACTTTTTATAAAAAATGAAAACCAGGGACATTTTTTGTTTTGCGGTCCATACCTCATTAACATATCTAATGTTAGTAACTATTAAAGACAAAATGCGGACAATTCTGTTTTAATGTAGTTTGACCGTTGTAACTGCTGTGCCTTACATAAACTCACTAATTGATTAAACCAGTTCAATACGCATTATTCTTATTCTTATCATTCTTTATGAGTGCAGTAACGGTAAGGTATCAAATTACTTATTTATTTAGTATTCCATAACTTCATAACAGAGGTAGTCAAACTAAAGTAGAGACATGGCAGAAATCCTACAATGAAGCGGGGCAGTGAAGTGTTCTCCTGTAGGCCTATGTGAGAGAGGGCGCTCAAGAAAAGAGAGAGAGGGTGAGAAGACACAGAAAGACAGAAGCACAATAACATGTATATTTAGGTATTTTTTTTGTAAATAACCGACGGTGTCAAGAGGAAGTAAAGTCCCCTGGTTTGTCCCCTATACTCTAACTGCTATGAGAGAACTCAAAATCAATTTAAGCATATATAAAACGGGGACATTTCCGGGGACAGATTGACCCGAGGATTGGCCACCAAAGCCAGGCAGGCATTTGGTATGATCACCATAGCCATATGAGGCTGGACCGGACTCTGAGAACTTTCCTTTGCTTTTCAGCTGTCAGATTGTAAACAAAGTCACGTGACTGGGGGCAGATGACTCTACAATACTAATTGTGGGCTTATCATGTTTCTTCGGCCACAACAGAAAAAAAAGACAATCGCTCTCTCCAGAGGGGCAGGCCAGCCAAAAAAGTTCAAAAGGGCCGTTGCCCGGGCAACATTAGCCCGTACCTGTGCACGTCCCTGGTCACAATGGTGATTCACCATTGTACCCTTGTTTGGCTTTGGGTTGTCTTGAATAAACAGCAACACCTAAGGAATGGGCTTGAGGTTTCTCAAGTGCTGTATCAACAGACCAGCACTGACAGCTAACCAGCCAGTGATAAGACTGAACGCTGTTTGAAAGGTTTCCATGTCAACACTCGCTCTCAAGCAACCCGTTCCAGAACACAATTGGTAAGCTTCTTGAGGAAATAGAGCTTTTATACAATATGTATAAAAACACACTAATGTGCATTAAGTACCACAACGTGAGCTGTCTTTTATGAGGTTTTTTATTTTATTTGAATCCATTATGGATGTCGCTTCTAACTCATGCAGCTCGCTATATGTATGCTTTTAGTTAAGGTTTCTATGCTTTACAACTACCACTCAGAAACATACCAATGACAGAATGCATTATGCATTTGGTGCACAAGGACAGCACTACCATACGAAAAACAATCACATAACAAGGTAGTTGTGAAAAGGGTTAGTAAAACCCAATTAAGCAGCACAGATTCACCAGCACTTATTTCTAAAGCAGATCTGTAGTAAGTACAGTGCAAGTCTAGTAAGCTTTAATGGCGTGATTGGAGCGCAGGAACCTGGGGAAGGAGTCTTTGGCCATCAGATTGTAGATTCTCTGCTGTGCCTCATCGAATGTGTCGGCACACGGAGAGTCCGTCACTCCAAGCAGAGCCTCCCGAGTCTCAGCGTCCAAGTTTACCTGAGGGGAAAACAGATTATCAGAAGAAGCTCTTTAATGATATCTTTATCCTGACTGCACGCATCACTCTCCTCTCCACAAACCTCCTGTGGGGCGTCAGGGTTGATAAACTGGTTGTAGATGCTGCTGGACTTTATCTTTTGCACGTTAGAAGGAGAAACTCTGTACTCCTGACAGGCCAGCCAGAACTCCAGGTTCTCCTCACTGAACTCTGAGCGCAGGAACCCACGAAACGCCTGCAGAGCGCCTGGTTGAGAGGGAGAAGAACAAACCAGAGTCAACAACGTGTCAAATCAAGAAGAGTTAACATTAGAATATGGAAAAGCATGATGCCAGAAAAACTCAGGCCACATAAAGACCAACATTTCATACAAAGACATGTTCATGCTTGCTTGACACTGTGTTAGAGCTCTATATTCCACTCAACACTTCTAACAGCTTTTTTTATGAAGTATTAAAACATCAACAGCAGCCAAATTGCAAGTGACATTTATTGGAAATAAAATGTGTAGAATAAAGAAGAATTTTGAAACATCAGTTTTGTCAACATAAAAACATTAGCTTTTCACTTCAGTGTTCATCAGGGAAGATTATCTTTTTGAACAGAATATGTAAGTATCATAAGGATTTTTTTGTCACAAACTATATTCTCTGCTATAATCTAAAATGCATATTTGCTTTTGGTAAGTGGTACCATTGTATTGCTAACATCCATGTTGTTCTACAAAAAAATATCATTCCTGCAATGCTCGATTTGAGAAAAGAAGAATTTGTTCATAGTAAATCCTAGTTTTGGCCAGTTAAAACTTTATCAGAACCATCAAGTATTGTTGTTTTTATAATCTTTATCTTTAAATGCTAATATTGAGTCACTGTTAAACCATTAAATAGCCGCTTCTTGTAGAGTACAACCTGATGTCCCAGAGGGTGTTGTTTGAACAGAGTTGTGTACAGACAGACTTAAGCCTAATGTAAGATATAAGTACTACCTGCTGTGCAAGCTGCATTGGAGAGAATTTGAAAATAAAAAAAGACAAGAATTGGGTTTTTTTCACATTTTGACTTTCCCTAGTCGAAAAAGCACAGGTGTTCCTCTAGTTACCTCGACAGTGAGCCAGCATGAACAACACCAGGACCTGAGACGGAAGCAGCTCATTCACACTTTGTTAAATTTATCACTAGCACTAGTGCTTTTCCATTTGTCAAATGTCTTCATAGAGACATTAAACTGACTTTATGGTGGGGGGAAAAAAAGACATTCTTACTTCTGTTTTTCAGCAGAGTCTCCAGGTCATGGGGAACTCTTCCATCCTGACCCCTGATAAGAAAAATGGAAACGGTAAAAATTCAGCTTCACAGTGATATCTGGTAGATTTACTTCTAGTACTCAATTCCAAAAAAAAAAGATTCCAGAAGGTTTACTTTAGCTTGTGGTGCGTCTCAGTCAGATGGCTTAACTTCACCCGCAAGTCTTTTGCCCTGAAAACAGAAACATTATCATTAACTGTAAAAAATCTGCCATCAGGGCATCAGTGATTTGCATAGAAAACAAATGATCCAGCTGCATACTCACCTCTCCAGGCATGAGGAGGGCAGGGAGGAAAGTCCCTTACACATTGAGGTGCGTTTGAGAAAACGTAGAAAGGTAAAATAAAGACAATTTCTTCTGAGTTTTTCTGTCACTCAGCCTCCCGAGCTTCAGAGTGCTTCTCTTATATAGCCTATACCTGTTTGTTATCTGATCTGTCCGATCCTCTAATAACAGCAGCTGTAGGACAGGAGTTGAATGAGAGAGGTGGTGTACGTGCTTACAGTCCACACAGGCCTGTCAACAGGAGACAGCACATAGAATAGGATAATTAAAGCAGGGTGACTTTCAGTACATGTTTGTGTGGTCAGGCATCACTTACTTTCTTTAGAGTCCGACCGGCAGGTGGACTGTTCACATCACTCATCTCTGGAGAGGTACTGCAGCATGGACAGGTGAGTGTTAAATGTTGACGGATGAGGCTGGACAAAACAAGACAGAACGCCTAAAACACCATTAAAGCCCCTGTGCAATACAAATAGTACCTCCTTTTTCTCATTTGTTATGACTTGTACTTTGTGTTTTGGAAACTGCATATGGAGCTCTCAATCAATGTGGATCTCCCTGCAAATGATGTTGTGTCATGAAACTGTCCCATTAAAGTTTGGGTAGGTAATTCACTTCAGAAACACTTTTTGTTATATTCCATGGAATGCTCTTAACATCCCGATAACAATAAACAATAAATACATAAAGAATAAATAAATAAATACATAAAGAAAAATTCATCTTTGGAAGCTGTGGCGCTGTAATTTCACTGTGTGACATTAAAAAGAGGGTTCACAATATCCTCTATTTCCATCATAACATATTTTACTTACAGCCCCCCTCCACTCGGATATGTATTTTACTTGAAGGTTCTTCACTTTGACCTTCACTGTGCAGAATGATGTACTCTGTTTGCACTTTTAAATCATGTGTTGGGGGGAACTTTAAGTATGAATAGCTATATACTGTTTATTTGCACTCACCACTCCATTAGGTACACTTGTACAACCTTATGTAATTTAAAACAACACATAATAGTACATATTCAGATTACTATTGTTAAATATTTAACCATACCTTTATCACTGAGGTAGTTTTCAGTGGTTTTGTAGCTTTATATTGAGAGATGTTTTAACATTTTGTCCACCCAAATTACAAATATTACCTTTTTCACAGTGTCAACAACAACAATAGCTCAGTCAAATTCATGGCAGAGATGTTGAATTGTAGCCTATGTTTTCACATAATCACTTCTTAATTTACTTTTGTCTTTTTTAGTATATTTTAGCCTATGTATGTTTTAAATGGTTGAAAATAATGTTTATAGACTAAATCTGGTCATAATTTAGCACTGTTCAACAGTGACTGACTTGTGACCTCAGTATTTAATAAATCCTCCGGCCCTGGTTGAGGATTCTTCAGTGTGATGTCAGGGACAAATTGTTCTAACTGTCATTTCAGGGGTTCCCAAACTTTGCCATGCCAAGGACCCCCATATAGCATTACCCTCTGGCGGGGACCCCCCTGTTGCAATTGTTTGCCTCGCGATGGAGCGATGCAGTGCGTTGCCACTACATTTAGGGCCTGCCTGATCAAAGCTGTCACTCCGCTTTTTTTGCCTGTCATAGCCCCACTGCCCCATCTGAACCATAGATCTGAACACACACCCAAACAACGAGACCAGTCAAGTCCATTTGAGATGATGTACTCATCTAAAACTTGGAAAATGTCTCTTCATGTGGCCCTACCTCCAGTGCTTTGCAAAATATTACATTACATTGCATTTAGCTGACGCTTTTGTCCAAAGCGACTTACAATAAGTACATTCGACCAGGAAGACACAACCTTGAAGAAAACAGAATCATATAAGTACATCAGGTTTCATAGAGCCAAACATTTCAAGAGCTACTCAACTGGCTTTAGGTAAGCCAGTCCTTTATTAGTATAAAAGTGCTTTGTTAATAGTTCTAACGCTCGAAGTGGAGTCAAAAGAGATGAGTTTTCAGTTTGCGCCGGAAGATGTGCAAGCTATCTGCTGTCCTGATGTCAATGGGGAGCTCATTCCACCATCTTGGAGCCAGGACAGCAAACACACGTGTTTTTGCCGATGGGAACTTGGGTCCCCCTCGCAGCGAGGGCGCAGCGAGTCGTTTGGCTGATGCAGAGCGTAGTGCACGCGCTGGGGTGTACGGTTTAACCATGTCCTGGATGTAGGAAGGGCCAGATCCATTCGCAGCATGGTAAGCAAGTACCAGTGTCTTGAAGTGGATTCTAGCAGTTACCGGAAGCCAGTGAAGGGAGCGGAGGAGCGGAGTGGTGTGGGAAAATTTAGGAAGGTTGAAGACCAGACGAGCCGCTGCATTCTGGGTGAGCTGCAGAGGTCGGATGGCACATGCAGGTAGACCAGCCAGGAGGGAGTTGCAGTAGTCTAGGCGTGAGATGACGAGAGCCTGGACCAGAACCTGAGTCGCTTTCTGTGTCAGCTGGGGACGTATCTTCCTGATGTTGTATAGCGTGTATCTGCAGCAACGGGTTGTAGCAGCGATGTTCGCAGTGAAGGACAGGTTGTTATCTAGGGTCACACCCAGATTCCTTGCAGTCTGAGTCGGGGAAACAACTGAGTTGCCGATGTTGATTGTTAGGTCAAGAGTGGGACAATCTTTTCCCGGGAGGTAGAGCAGCTCAGTCTTGTCAAGGTTGAGCTTGAGGTGGTGAGCAGACATCCACTGAGAGATGTCAGCTAGACAAGCAGAGATGCGTGCGACGACCTGGGTCTCTGAGCGGGGAAAGGACAGAATTAATTGGGTGTCATCAGCGTAGCAGTGGTAAGAAAAACCATGCGGGCTAATGACTGATCCGAGCGAGTTTGTGTACAGGGAGAAGAGGAGGGGACCAAGAACAGAGCCCTGAGGGACCCCTGTAGTTAATTGACAAGGGTCGGACTCAGACCCTCTCCAAGTCACCCTGTAGGTACGGTCTTTCAGGTATGAGGTGAGGAGGGAAAGAGCAGAGCCTGAAACTCCATGTTTTTGGAGAGTGCGAAGGAGGATCTGATGATTCACCGTGTCGAATGCAGCAGACAGGTCCAACAGGATGATGACAGAGGAGAGGGATGCAGTTTTGGCAGTGTGCAGTTCCTCCGTGACAGCAATGAGAGCAGTTTCTGTGGAGTGACCTGCCTTGAAACCAGACTGGTGCGGATCCAGAAGGTTGTTCTGATTGAGATAACAGGAGAGTTGTTTAAAGACAGCGCGTTCAAGTGATTTAGACAGGAACGGGAGGAGAGAGACAGGCCTGTAGTTTATAACATCAGACGGGTTGAGAGTGGGTTTCTTTAGGAGAGGGTTTACTCTTGCCTCCTTGAGACTGTTTGGAAAGTGACCAGAAGTTAGCGAAGTGTTGATGAAATGGGTGAGAAACGGTAGAATATCAGGAGCGATAGTCTGAAGGAGGTTTGAAGGGATAGGGTCCAGAGGACAGGTGGTAGGGCGGGCAGAAGTAATGAGGGTAAGAACCTCACTTGGAGAGAGAGGGGAAAAGGAGGTTAGTGTGTTGGTGGAAGGAAGGTCTGGTGACCCAGCGGTGAGTCAGAAAAATAAGAGCGAATATCATCAACCTTTTTTTCAAAGTGGGTAACAAAGTCGCTTGACAGAAGTGAGGAGGGGGGAGGGGCTTTTGGAGGGTCCAAGAGGGTGGAAAAGATGGAAAATAGTTTTTTAGGATTGGAATAGGAAGATTGGATCTTATCTTGAAAGAAAGTGCTTTTTGCCTGAGAGATCGAAGCAGAGAAAGAGGAGAGGAGAGCCTGATAGGTTAGGAGGTCGTCACGGTGTTTGGATTTCCACCGTTTCCGCTCTGCTGCCCTAAGGACGGTTCTATTAGCACGCAGTGCATCATTTAGCCAGGGAGCAGGAGGGGACTGACGAGCCTGCCGAGATGTGAGAGGACAGAGAGGATGAGAGAGTAGAGAGGAGAGTTTCTGCAGCAGAGTTTGGTGGCAGGAGTTGGAACGAGTCAGAGGAAGGGAGGGCTGAGAGCACCGACGAGGCAAAGGTAGAGGGGGAGAGGGAGCGAAGGTTACGGCGGACAAGTGCAGGATGAGAAGAGATTAGTTTCTTATGTTTGGAAAGGGGTAGAGAGAATGAAATGAAGAAGTGATCGGATGTGTGGAGCGGGTTTACAGAGAGGTTAGAAGTAGCGCAGTTCCTTGAGAATATGAGATCAAGGACATTGCCAGCTTTATGAGTCGGTGGGGACGGAGACAGTGAGAAAGCAAAGGCGGTTAACAGAGATGTTAGTTCGTCTATCTTCCCCGTCTGGAGGTTGAAGTCTCCGAGAAGTACAGCGGGAGGGCCAGTTTCAGGGATGTGTGAGAGGAGATTATCTAATTCCTCCAAGAAGTCCCCCAAGGCGCCTGGTGGACGGTAGAGAACAACAATGGTTAACTGTATAATAATACATAAATAATATTTCCTCAACAAAGTTGTCTTTTTAAATAAATCTGATGTATGCAAGCAATTCTGCGACATGTGCTACATCCGTGCTCTCATCCAGCTGCAGAGCGAAATATTCACTAGCTCTCACTTGCTCCAAAAGCTGAGCAGATACTCAGTTTCACTCTCAGTAGCGGCAGCTCGATTCTGATTGGCTTGAAGGGCAAAAAAAAAAAATATTAAAAGATTGGCATCAAAGGACACATAGATTGATAGATATGTAGTTATTAATAACATCTAAAAAAAGAAATTAAAAAAATGTAACTTATTAAAAAAAAAGAAATTTCCCCCTTCCCTCAAACATGGCGCCCCCTGGCGGCCCCCACTTTGAAAAACACTGATTTAGCCAAAAGCCTATTTATTAATAATAAACAACATTTTTGGCTAACACAAGACACTCTCAGTCGCCATTCATAGGTACAGTGTCCCAGCAGCAGCCCGTTCACTTTCTGTCCTCCACAGTCCACACACAGGGAGCCGAGCTGCCTGACACTCGGCCGTCAGCGGGCTTCAGCTGCGGGGAGGAGGCTGCGTGCCTCTCCCTTCCTGCTTTCTCAACAAACGTCGGAGTGAAATTTAAACCACAGAGCGGTCAGTAGTGGCGAACACAGAGAACCCCCGGGACCTGCTGAATACTGACGGAGCTGCTCGTTTTCCGTCCCATTAATCCGGTTTGAGGACAGTGGACTGAGCCCCGGACTCGCTGGTTCTCCTGCACACTACCATGGGCCGCGGTTCGGTTTGGAGATAACAGTGAGTGTGAGACAAAATGGTCTCTAAGGGTTTGGAATAAGACCACAACAGCGAACATAACAGCGTGAGACACAAGTTTAACGCCATCATGATTTTAGAGGGAAGCTAAATCGCTCGTGGCAACTGTAGGAATGTGGATCGACCTGCGCAAGGATCGATACATAGGAAACACCTAATACTTTAATCCGTTATTTCCTCCAATCCCCTGTGTGTTTGGCAAATCAAAAATATTCCTTAGATTCCTTAGAAGAGCAATGTTTTAATAAAATGTATTCAATCGATTCTTGTCCTGGGATTATCCTCATGTCTATGTAGGGCTTGAGCCTTTAGTCTAAATTTTTCAACAGTAGTGTAACCTTGGAGTATAACTCTCCCCAACCTCCAACTAAACTGTCTGCAGTCCAGTTGCATTGTGGTAAATGTAGGCGCCAGGTTTTCTGTTATAAAACAGACAACATATCTGGTTCTGTACATACATTGTAGTAAAACTGTCCATTGTGAGTGTGCAAATTGAGGCCCTTGTTTCCCATCAGCAGATTCTGACTGGCAACAGTTATGAGACTCCAATGGACATGGTTCCCTTGGGCGCACTGCCAGGAGAGCACCCCCCCTGATCCGGACCAGGACAGGGAGAAGATCTGGGCGGAGCTGTTTGAGGAGCTGGACGTCAACAAAGATGGACACATCGACCTCCTTGAACTGCGGACAGGACTGGCAGGCAGGGGACTTTCCAAACGCTCCGTGGAAAGGGTATGACACCTGCATCACACACACACACAAACTTTTGCAATAATTTGTTGCTAGTGATAGGGTCATTGTTAAACCAACTCTGTGGTTTAACCTGTTGTACATGTGTTTTTGTTGTGAATACATGCAGTCTCTCTGTCTACTCTCAGTCTGTCTCAAACTGTTTGTTTTGGTAAGAAGACTTACTGTACTTACTCCCATTTATTTTGCATGTTGTCATTCAAACAGCCGTAAAGCTATGGAAAAAGGTGTTTATACCCCAGAAGTGAGGTGGCATAAAATGTCTTAATTAATGTGGGAATGGGTTAGATCACATGTGTCAAACTCAAGGCCCGTGGGCCAAATCAGGCCCTTGGTGGATTTAATTTCGGCCCGCAGGATAATTTTTAATTACTATTAGATCTGGCCCACCGGTATTTTGCACGCACACCTTCACTCAATCCTGAGGGTTTCCTCCGCTCAGATCCTGACCCCAAACATTGATGAACTTGCACCCAAGATGAGATTCCAAGTATCTGGCTCGAACTAGAATCACAGAGCAGCAAACTGAGCTCAATGGATGTTTCCTTCTGCACTTTTTTTCTCACGAGAACAGGGCATGTTTGGTTTTCTCTTTGAGGGAAATTGTTTTTTTGAAGCTGTTGTTGGCCTCTGGAAAAATGTAATCATAAGAAATGACTCCGGAAAAGCTGCAGATAGATCCATAAGAAATGAATGCAACTGATTATTTAATGTTTAATGTGGTTTTTATAGGCAATAATTTAAGCTTTGTTAGTTCCAGGTTTAATATGTGCAATAAGTTCATTTCAATACGTTTTGTAATAAACATTGAACCAGTCCGGACCTCGACTAGTACCGATTTTTTTATTTTGGCCCACTGTGTATTTGAGTTTGACAACCCTGATGGTTGGGTCATACAAACCCATGACTTTACCCAGGAGACTAGGGTTTGTTTCTATGTGAAACAAAAAGTCAACTCTTGACTGATTCACGATGAGTGTCCTTCCCTATCTGAAGAGTTAAGAATGAGAACGAGTCACTAAATGACACTCAAAAAGCATAGTCAGTGCAAATACTCTTAAAATTGGCGTGCTATTTATACATCATGTTGCATTTGTGTGTATGTGAATATATATCACTTACATTGTTGGGACATCAACAGGTTTACACTTTTTGGGACAAAATGTATGTTGCCACAAAATACCTTTTTTAAAGTTAAAGTCTTAGATTGGTTTAGGTGTGCGTGCATGTGCGTGTGTGTGTGTGTTTTCTACATGTAAACGGCAGCATGTTGTCTATTTTGGTACAAGAAGGAGGACTTTGTAAGATGAGAATGACGACCTTTCCCATAGTCCTACACTTGATCTCTTTTCACATACAGATCATTGTCCAGCTTTTCTTCTTGACAATTTTGTACTGGTTTTGTTTACATTCTGTTTAGAGTTTTGAGAGGTCCTGATAATTTATTCCGGCAAATTATTCTGACCTCCTAATTGACCTTTCCGAAGATTATTGAGTCTATGTAAATTTGCTGCGTGGCTCAGATCCACCAACGTCAGCAAGATCTCACCTCTATTAACTTCCCGAAGAACCAAGGTTTCAATTAACTGCTGTTTCAATTCAGACAACTCTTTTTTAATCTGTTTAAGCGATCCCGAAGGATTTTGATATCAGTAAATGGAGTGTGCTCCTACCTAAGTGTGTGTGGCAGGGTGCAGTCTTACCTTTGACGCAGGAGAGGAGGGCACAGGTGTCTTTTAAAGGATCCCAATCCAACAGGTGGGATTCAGTTTATTTGAAGAAAAATAGGTCCAAACTAATACAGGGTTTTTACCTTCTCTCTTTACAACATTATAATCATCCTAACAAAAAAACCGTGCTGTGATCATGTTCAAATGAAACTTTAATTCACAGTCTTACATTTATTACCAAAATGTTTTAATTTCAACTGCCCATTTCAGTTGTGACATTTTAAAATTCTCCCGATAGAATTTAGAGGTATTTCCTCGTAAAAAGACCGGTGACAATAAAAAGCGCATTCAACTTTTCATTCACCCATTTATTCACATCAGTTTCACACACTTTTTCCGACACAGACGGCGGATTAACACTCAAAAACCCATTCCTGTCCGCAAAATTCGAAGGAAGGTCCTTACAGGTCGCGGTATTTATAATTTTCAAACACTTTTTCCGACACAGACGGCGGATTAACCTTTCAAAAACACATTCCTATCCGCAAAATTCGGGGGACCAGATTTTCCCCACAGGTCGCGGTATTTATAAAGGTTCACACACTTTCTCTCATCAAATCATTCCACTCAGCCAACAACCAATACATTCGAGAGATATTTACCCCGTCTAGAAGGACCTTACCGAGAGCTATTAACCCAGCTCTGAAGCACACAGCCTACCCGGAGAGAGTCTACCAGGGGTCACCCCCCCTCTTTTCAAAACGCAAAGTTCTCAAATAGCAACAGAAAAAATTGTAAGCATAGATACATATTCAAAAACCGTCAAGAAGCATTCTCATTATGGGTTTATACAAGAATATGATTGATCATGTATGATTTATAATTAACTTTCGTTTTTTAAGTATTCACTTCATACCATGATCTCAATTAACTTTCGTTTTAAGTATTCACTTCATATGAAGATCTCAACAATTCTTATTTGCAATTTGTATTTTTTCAACCAAAATGTATTTTGGTTAAAGCTGATACAAAAGTTACTTAAAGATAATGATTCTCTGAACTTGCAAATTGATACAAATACAACGGGGGGAAATGTTCACCTTCTGGTTGCATTGACTACAACCAGTAGACTTGTGCAACGTAGACAGTTAGGGAACCACTAATGTATACTGAATGTTAGACAATGATTTATATTTGTCTGGGACCACCTTCTGAAAATATTTAACAACAGGATTTCATCAGAGGTGAAAACTGATCTTTTTAGGAATGTGTTGGTGGGCTTAATTATATATATTTTTATTTCAGTACAAATAATTGTCCAGGCAGCTCTCTGACCAGTTCCATGTGGGCATATTGGGTTTCTTACTGTGACTTAAGCATTAAGGCTTAAGCAGTGCTTAAAACGTACCATCTGGCAAACTGTAACTTTTTTGACCAAATATCTCTTCAATGCTAAGAGCTTTGTTTTTCATTGACCCTTCTCTTTGTGTTTTCAGATTGTAAAAGCTGGGGACACCAACCAGGATGGAGTACTGGATTTTGAAGAGTTCACGCAGTATCTCCGAGCCCATGAAAAAGATCTCAAACTCATGTTCAGGAATCTGGACAAGAACAATGACGGTGTGTAGCAGCGAACAGTTAGAACAATAATTAATGACACAATAACAAAGTGTTCACATTGAGATATTTTCTTTCCATGCTATTATCTCTCTTTCTTTAACTGGGTCTGACTGGTGGGTATTTGCAGGTGAGATTGATGCAGCGGAGATCCAGCAGTCTCTTCGCACCGTTGGTGTGGAAGTCAGCCTCAAGAATGCCTCCAGGATTCTGCAAAAGTCTGCACACAAATATTAATATCTTATATAACATCACATTAGGATCTAAAATAAGAACATCAACAAACATGGCAATATTAACAACTCAACAAATGTGTGTGCATCAGCCTAGTTCTTTTCCTTCTGGGCTGGCAGGCCGTTTTAAACATATCTTACCTTGATATTGGCTCCACTGACAGTGTGTTTGTAATATAATGGACTGCTTTCAGCTTCTCTCTCTTTAAAAGTGAACACAATAAAGCCACTTCCTCTTAAAACTGGTTGCTTCCCCTAATATTATTCTTTGAAATAATGTCACAATTACAGACTCCGAAGATGTGTCTTCTTTTCTAATGCTGTTTCTTAATGGCATGTTTAATTTCCTAAGTGAAGACTAGGGTTTTCACAACTTTCCTTCATCTAGAATAGGAAGTGCTGATTACTATAACACATTTTTAGAACTAAATGTTCCGTTTAATCACAGTAGGCAGCGCATCTACTGCTTTAATGTCTTAATAATAGTTTTAGTTTTGTATTTTCAGTTCCTCTGATAGGTTATTGTGGTAAACCAAGACATGTCTTCTCATACATTAAAGGATTCCTCATTGCCATTTCTGAATGATTGATCCCTCCTCTGTAACACATTTGGTACTTGAACGATCCTAATGATTTTCATTATTTATTCCTGTGTTTGTCTCACAGAATGGACAAAGACGGTACCATGACCATTGACTGGAATGAGTGGCGGGACTTCTTCCTGTTCAAGCCCCTCACCAACATGGAGGACGTAGCACGCTACTGGAAACGTTCAATGGTGAGGTCACACACACAATATATAATAACAGTGAGGATAACATACAGTTCAACAAAGAAAACCAGGAAAATGGCCCTTCCAATAGATTGGCATGCCTATGACTGACAGACATATATAGCCTTTTCTTAAACTATTTCTATTTTACTTTCTCCCCTTTATCATCATAATTTCTGATCCTCTTTCCATTCACCACGGGTTCAGTAGATGTTGGATATAGGAGAGCAGCTGACAGTTCCTGATGAATTTACTGAAGAGGAGAAGAAGTCTGGCTATGTGTGGCGGCAGCTGATGGCCGGAGGCATTGCCGGATGTGTATCTCGGACCGGGACGGCCCCCTTAGACCGCATCAAAGTCTTCCGACAGGTCAGTTAGCAGTTATGATCTCATCTCTTAGGTCAGTCTGAACCACAGGACTATTCATGCTGATGTGTTTAGTGGTTTTTTTCTCTGACTCTGTTCTCCCAGGTGAATGGTTTCATTGAATTTAAAGGGAATGTGCTGAGCAGTTTTCAGTACATGATCAAAGAAGGAGGACTGCGGTCGCTGTGGAGGGGCAATGGAATCAACGTGCTAAAGATTGCTCCAGAAACTGCTATCAAGTTCACAGCTTATGAACAGGTAGAGAGACCTTCACTTAGGTTTAGTATTTTTTTTTTACACTTCTAAACATTTATTCATCTTCAATCTCTATCTCAATTATTTTCTCTTACTATTATCCAGGCTTTGGCAGTGACTTCAGATTCTCTTTGTTATTCTCTCTTATTCAGTCCATAAGAGTTGTTGTTACATTTTGACAAAGCCAAGCTAGATGTTGCCCCGTGTCTCCAGTCTTTATGCTAAGCTAGGCTAATTGACATTGATTGATTGGTGTCAATCTTCTCGAAAAGTGAATGAAGCATATTTCCTTAAATGTCTTTCGATGTCTTAAGACATCGCTAAATCTATTTTCTATCAATTTGAAATGATATTGTCGTCTGTCTATGATGAAGCTTTGGAAATTAGCCTTACTCTATCTATCTTTCCCTCTATAACTCATAGATCAAGAAAATGATCCGTAGCAGAAATGAATCAAGAACTCTGAGGCTTCATGAGAGGTTTGTTGCCGGCTCTTTGGCCGGAGCTACAGCTCAGACAGCCATCTACCCAATGGAGGTAATATCAGGGTAATAACCACATTAAAACAACATTCATACTGTGTGAAGTGTCAAGAAAAATGCATGACGAGAAAAAAAAAAACTTTCCTCTTTCTTGCCATATCCTTTCCATCTCTTCTCTTTTCCACACAGGTGCTGAAGACCCGCCTAACACTAGGAAAGACAGGCCAATACTCAGGAATAGCAGACTGTGCCAAACACATCCTACAGAGAGAAGGTGTAGCAGCTTTGTACAAGGGCTATGTACCCAACCTGCTGTGTATCGTCCCTTACGCCGGCATCGACCTGGCTGTCTATGAGGTCAGAATGCCACTAAGGGCAGAAAGCTGTCGCGGTGCATCTCATTACTGTGTATCTTCTTCTCACTCCCTCTGCTCCACAGACTCTGAAGTTTGCCTGGCTGAACAGGAACCAGGGTTTAGCTGACCCCGGAGTCATGGTGCTGGTCGGCTGCGGTGCCGTTTCTAGCACCTGTGGACAGCTAGCGAGTTACCCTCTGGCATTGATCCGCACTCGAATGCAGGCACAAGGTCAGGATTACTGTGGTCACACTAATAGATATGGATGGTTATTTCTAAGTAACTTTATTGGACAACGGTGATACTCCATGACTTTAAATGTCATAGATTCTCAAAGTACTTTGAATGCTACTGGAGGAATAAATTACAAAATATATTCCCTAATTTGATGATAGTGAGGGCCAGAGTTCAGCTCCAACACACTGTTATCTACTCTGATCTTTTTCTTCATTTTTTTTTAATGTTTTTATAATTTGTTCAACTATAGATCCACTCAATTACCCATACATATGATGCTTTTATTCATCTGTATGTATTCTAGTAGCATGTTAAATGGCAAATCCCAACCCTGTTAAACTGGAAATTGAGGCCCCTGTTATTATTTAGCTAAACGAATAAAGCATGTGTGTATCTTAATTTACCCCTGACTATTTACAAGGCATACTGTACAGGCTATTGGATTGACATACCTCACTGTGAACGCTTGGTTTACAAACCTTCGGCAGACATTCTTATAATATATACAATAAATGTGACCAAATCTTCACTGAAACACATTTTCTGAGCTTTGTATTCCAAACACCATCTACTCAGGAAGACTGCAAGATGCTGTGGAATTATTAAGATGTCATTGTAATAATCAAAACATTTTTGTCAAACTAATGTTTCCGTGTTTTTTTTTCTCAGTACGTAATTTTTGGAAAAAAAGGCAGTTATGTAATTCCAGACTTATGATGTCTTTTCATGAAACATTAAATTCAATACTATGCTTTTTGTACTTATTGAGCTAACCAAGTTGTGAGAAAACCGAATGTGTTGGTGGAGCTCAACTTTTTTTCTTCCCTCAGCTTCATTGAAGGGAGCCGATAAACCCTCCATGGTGGCCTTGCTTCAAAACATTGTGACCCAAGAGGGTGTGGCAGGACTTTATCGTGGAATTTCCCCCAACCTCCTGAAAGTCATCCCTGCTGTCACCGTGTCCTACGTCGTCTACGAATACACAAGAATAATGCTGGGAGTGGACATTGAGGGTATGATGGGGGGGAAGGGGTAGGAAAGGTTTTAGATGGTTTGGGGTGGCTTTCGACAAAAGCACGTACAGATCTGTTGGCTATGCATGAGGAAATTGGCCTTGGCTATGGATGGATTCATGCTCCTATGACCGATGACGATATGAAAGATAAACCATTAAAGGAAAAGAGAAAAACAACAAATTGGAATGCCCCCAAACTGGCAGCTGCTGTGACGAGTTTCACGTGTGATGTATTGCGTTGCAGCGCATGCCAGAAGTGGTGTGAATGCTAATCAACTCATGCTACTGCATTGACAGATGAAGACTTGCATGAACTTGCCTGAGATCAAACCGGTACCAAATTTGGAAGTCATGTTACATTCCTACAGCATTGTTTTTTCCCTCTTAGGTAGTAGATAGAGAATATACTGGATTGCTAGGAGGACTGATTCATCTTCCTCTTCTGTAAGCGAGGGGAACCTGAAGTCGCTGCTCATCGGTGGAGTTAAAGAGTCCGGACTTTGATTGAAACGTCTTAAACAAATGTTACAAATACTAAAGATGAGGCAGTGGTGTAGTCTACTTTTTTGTAGTGGGTATACGGCGTATACCAGCGTATCACGTAGACTACACCACTGAGATGAGGTGTAAAACAACAACAAAAATGACTGATCCTAACTCTTGAATTACAACTGAAAAAGTCGATCTTCTCTTTCCTGGAAGGATTACTACTGAACAAAAGCACGACAGAGGACATTATATTCTACTGGAGTGGATCTTCCAAAGCCATATCAAGAAGCGTAGAGGATTCATAATAACCTCTCATGCAAATGCTCATGTTTTATAAATGTTTCTTTGTTTGAAACACACAACGGGGTCCAGTGCCACAAAGTATTTTTAAAAACTATAATGTATACGCACAATGTGCAGGTTTAACACCATGACAACGAGTTTGCTTTGTATGTATCATGAAACATAAGGTTGAGAATGAAATGTAAAGCCAATGAATTTTTGATACATTTCATTATTTGTTATGGAAAGTGGCAATAAATGCATGCATGGTGTTTCTGATGTTTAATAAATGCCTCTGAGCTTTATCTGAAGAACTGAAATGAAGTGATAGCTGTCTGTAGGCTAGCCTGATGACATAACTGTGCCATGGTTTAAATTGTGTCCTTTTCATTGACTGCCACTTTGCTCAGCCTGATGGCCTTATGTTGCCGTGCAACTGCACCAAGGAATTTCTTATCCTTAGCTCTTACACCTGTCCATTTCACATTGATTCACTTAATTACTCTGACTGTGCAGTTTAACAATACCATAAGCAAATGCAACTGGAATGGCAAAACTCACATGCAGACCTGATGGTTTCCTAACAAATAGGATTGAGCACATCTTTTTGGTAAAGCTTTATTTTACAAGTTTGTAAATTCATAAGTATCTATAAGTGCCAAATAAATAAACAAGTAATTAAATGATCTGCTAAATTGACTTAACGATTATTAATAATATTGTTTTATTATTGGTTATACAATGCAGTTACTTGAATAATGTAGTCAAGCCCCCTTATCTGCTGTCTTTATTTCCACCTCCGTGGTTAATATATTATTCCATTGTGTTTAGCTCCTATGGTTTAGCTACATAATAAATCAGTAATGCCAAGTACACAATTATGAAACTCTAAATGTTATGAATACCGCCCAATCCCCTCCACAGCTCCTGATCTACACTGGTCCTACACCCCAGGTGGTGGCGGTGTGTTTCTGTATGCTGGAGGAGAAGAAGAAAGGACGCGGGGTTAGGATTCTTTGATTGGCTATTTTAAGCCGGCGTGGTACGCACATTGGTGTCCCCCGTACGCTCCTGTTTAGCCTTCCCGCTTCTGCGCAGCTCGATCCGGCCGAAGCTACCCAGCCTGCCCCCTGTGTCTATTTGCCTCTTGTGAGCAGCATGTCTGATTACGGCGGTCTGCCGACTAACGGAGTCGGTGCTGGGATGAAAAACGACGCTTTTGCTGATGCAGTACAACGAGCCAGACAGGTAATAAAGCCTTCGACTAGAAGAGCAGACAGCTTGGGAGCTAACGGTAGTTAGCTGGTGGTAAACGGCAGCTAGCTTAATTACCCGTGACGTTAGCTTTGGGTAACTAGCGAGCGCGCTAGCTAGCTAGCTAGTAGCTATACCATTCATTTGTCTTACACACACTCGCCAGGTTGTGTAGTCAGTCGAAATGTTTGTTGGGGGAACTCGGTAGCGACAGAAACGTAGGTAGCTCTTTAATATCATGTATAACGTTAGCTAAATATAATTAAAATGTATTGTCCCCACCGGAATCCCCGGGTTGGGTTATATGGACTAGCTGCTTCGGCTAAGTTAGCTCGGTCGGTTCCTAACTATAACGTTAGTTAACGGTGCGCTGGTCAGGAACTTTCAGCCTCCATGTGTAAAACGCCATTTTAGGGAATTGAAAAATTAACAACATTGGCATCGCATTATGATTGTCGTGAAATAAGCAAATCGGACCGGCTTTCCACATTGTATTGATAACTAGCATTACATGGACAAAAGGATGCTAATAGGTTATTTATTGACTGATATTTCACTGCTCTGTGGGTATTGCTTTTACGTTGACGAGTAAGACTGCGAAGCTAACGTTACCTTACGGATAGTTTTAGTTATAAAGCTTATGGCTACAACGAATGATTATTGTTTAATCATACTCGATTACTCGAGGAACATCCAAAGTGCAATTAGTGCAAATGCAATATACATACATGCAAAACATATGAACACAGTCAGGTTAACATTCAAGAAGCTTGATTAATGAATGGATTGTTTCCGGTTTATTCAAGTTTCTGTGAATGCATTGTTGGCGCAAATCGTGACTTTTAGTCCACCGTAAACTCCACGAAGACTTAGATCCTACATTTCCCACAATGCCACTCGGATACTTCCTGCATTGTAAATGCATATCTTTCTGACTCCACACCACTAACAACATTTATCCATTTAATTGTATTCTCCAAGCCAAGATAACCACATCAGTGCAGTGCTACTCATGAGTATACTTATCTGCATTGTACCACTTTAAATGAGATTTTCTTTCTTCATAATCACTATTTATTTCATATGTCTTTTTAGATTGCAGCTAAAATTGGTGGAGACGGTGTTCCTTCAGTGAGCAACAACGGAGGATCTGAGAACTATCCATTCACATCACAGAAACGATCCCTGGAAGAAGCAGGTAAAAATCAGCTCAAACAGGCTCTTTGTCTGCATTTTTAGTCCACATTGTAGACTCACTTTTTCTTCTGTTTTCAGATGAACCCGATGCCAAGAAGGTAGCATCACAGGGTGAAATTGATTCTGCATTGTGTACGTTAAATCTCTCATTGATCCTACTAAAAACACTCCCTCTCCTCAGTTTTACAACCTTCCTTTACACAAAACGTTCTCTCTCTTACAGCTATTGGAGCTCAGCTGGCTGCCCTGTCCCAACAAAGGTATAGAGTGAAATTGATTTTTCTTTTTGCATTAACACATTTGGTGCTTGTGGCTATGACTTGTATGTAATCCTTCATATTTCACATATCATTTTTTATTTCATTTGTATTGTCTGCAGTGTCCGGTCCTCCACAATGACGGAAGAGTTCAGAGTGCCTGATGGGATGGTGGGGCTCAGTAAGTACATGCACTTTGTCTCTTAAACCATAGACATGATACCTGAATTTTACTTGTTCCAACTAAAATCTAAATGTCTTTCTTGTTTTCTCTACAGTCATCGGCCGAGGGGGTGAACAGATTAACAAAATACAGCAGGATTCTGGCTGCAAGGTCCAGATTGCGCACGGTAAGATATGACCGAACAAGTCAACCAATTTATTTATTTATTTTTTACTTTCTTCTGGACTGATATATATATATATTTTTTTTCAATTCATAGACAGTGCCGGTCTTCCAGATAGAAGTGTTTCTCTGACGGGTTCTCCAGATGCCATACAGTAAGTTTGTTTTCATTTAAATCCCAAGTATTTCTCATTTTAAAACTCAACTCTAACACACAGTTTGGGAGTCTATGGGCTCTCTTTTTTGTTTTATGCAATGGTAACAAATGGCCCTATTGGGAATTTTTTCTACACAGTTTTGGCTTTAGGGCAGTAATTTCCCTCATGAGGTTAGGGTTAGATCACCAAAATACTGCCTGTGAAGGTCCATAGCATGTACAAGCACGCATTCAAGGGGAAACTACAAAATTGCTAGACGATGCAGAAAAAATGCCAATTGGACCACATTTTTTCCAAAATGAGAGTAAACCTGGGTTCGGGTTGGTTTTGGCTACTGTATGTGATACAATCACGGTCAAGAGCCACTTCTGTCGTTGCGGCTGGGGGAGGATGGGTCAAATTTGAACGTTGTGTTACCAACGCTAAGCTACAATTGCTGCATAGATTGCCTCAACTTCTGAGACTGAATATTGAAATTGGAAGAGCTAGCTACACTTTCAGTATAATGCAAGTGTAATTTGTCTGCTTTTGAAGGGAAATGCTACTCATTCCAATGCCTTCCAGTATTTGAGCCAACCTAGGCAATGCCCATCATTCAGCGTGCAGAAATACATCACAAAGTATCATTCAACACATTGCCTGTTGAAAACTCTTGCACTGTCTGTAATTATTTTGAACACTGTGAACCAGAGCGCCTTTGTTACTGTATGGCTACAGCGCATGTCATACCCCTCGCCTCCAGTTGTCGGTTTCTCTGCTGTTCAATAACACCGTTAATGCCAACCAAAAAGAAACAATAGTATGGGCAAATTAATCATGTTTTTTTTATGCCTTGTTTCTCAATTGTTTTTTCACTTTAATTTACCTCCAGGAGAGCCAAGGCCCTCATAGATGACATTGTGTCGAGGGGTCATGAGGGTGCGACCAATGGGCAGTCGGGAGGAGGAGGAGGAGGAGGAGGAGGATTGGGAGGAGGAGGAGGAGGAGGAGGTGGTGGTGGAGGAGGAGGGGGGGGGGGGAGGTTCCATGCAGGAGATGATCATCCCTGCAGGCAAGGCCGGCCTCATCATCGGTAAAGGAGGAGAGACCATCAAACAGCTTCAGGTAAGAATGACGCCTTCATATTGCCACATATAGTGCTTCCACTATACAGATATTGGAAAGATGAATAAAGAATGAATTTAGTAAAATGTTTGGTCCTGATTTTAAAAGCTTACTGCAACCTGTAAACTGTGTCAAATGCTTTTGTTGACATGAGGTACATTTGCCGTGTGATTAATGCAACATTCCTCTACTGCTGAATCTTAGGAGCGGGCTGGAGTTAAGATGATTCTTATTCAAGACGGATCCCAGCCACCCAACATAGATAAGCCCCTGCGCATCATTGGAGACCCCTACAAAGTGCAGGTACTGTTGAAGTTCAGTATTGTATGTACTATATATATCGTTTTGACTAAGGAAATGGTTTATGCCCCCATTTACCCTTTAAATCATTGCATGTTTTTTTTTTAGCAAGCAAAGGACATGGTGAATGAGATTCTACGAGAGAGGGATAATGCCGGATTTGGAGACCGGAGCGAATTTGGATCAAGGATGGGAGGAGGGTGGTGGTGGTGGTGGTGGAGGAGGAGGTGGCGGCGGCGGCGGTGGTATCGGCAGCGGCGGTGGTGGCATTGATGTAAGTTATCGCCGTTCATTTCAGCAGTTAGTCGTAGCGTTGATTTCTGTATTCAGAGACTTTTTCCTAACCTCACTATAACGGAGAAGTGGCACTAAAGAAACGTAATAAAAAGACTGTTGAATAATGTGTGATGCAAGTTTAACATAAATGTGATTAATGGATAAGAGTCTATTGTTTCGTGCCACTATAACAATTTATGTTGTAATCTACAGATAGCTGTGCCCCGCCACTCTGTGGGAGTTGTAATTGGCCGAAGTGGGGAGATGATCAAGAAGATCCAGAGCGATGCTGGAGTGAAGATTCAGTTTAAACCAGGTGAGCTCTCACATATATTTCTCAGGTGGGGTGAAATGTAATGGAACTGCTATAAATTAAAGCGCTGCAGGAAATGTCATCTACTAGAGATGCTACAGCTTGTTCCCCCCCAAAAATCTTTTTTTCACTTTTCTTAACTTAATTGTGCCTTTTTTTCAAAGCTTTTTATTTATTTTTTTAGATCGGATAGTTTCCTTTTGGTTTCAGTCCCTGTGCAAACCACCATTAATAACCCCCATTTCCCTTTGTCTTTCCTTACAGATGATGGAACCGGTTCTGATAAAATAGCCCATATTATGGGTCCACCAGACCAGTGTCAGCATGCTGCATCGATCATCACCGAACTGCTACAGAGCATCCGTGCACGAGAGGAGGGCGGGCAGGGGGTAGGTGTTTAATTCTAGCTGGTGACAGAAATCCCAAACTTTAGTTGGCCGTGGACCAGTAAAACCTAATGTAAAGAGTGTTTCCTGCACAGGGCCCCCCCGGTGAAGGGATGCCACCCGGTGGGCGGGGACGAGGCAGAGCCCAGGGCAACTGGGGCCCTCCGGGAGGAGAGATGACCTTCTCCATTCCTGCGCACAAATGTGGGCTTGTCATTGGCAGAGGAGGAGAGAATGTGAAGTCCATCAACCAACAGACCGGTGCGTTTGTGGAGATCTCTCGTCAGCCGCCACCAAACGGTGACCCCAACTTCAAACTGTTTATCATCCGAGGGTCCCCACAACAGATTGACCATGCCAAGCAGCTTATAGAAGAGAAGATTGAGGTGCGTTCAAGTGATTTACGGAGCAGAGAAGGAACACACAGTTCAAGCTGTTTTCAAAAGATAATGCATCCTCTGAATTAATTCCTAGTTTAAATGTTTTTCTCCTGTTTCCAGGCTCCATTGTGTCCTGTGGGCGGTGGTCCTGGTGGTCCTGGTGGTCCAGGTGGCCCGGGAGGCCCAGGTGGTCCTATGGGTCACTTTAATCCAAACCCTTATAATGCAGGGCCTCCAGGTGGTGCTCCACAGTAAGTGCAATCTACAAATACTGGAATGCAGGATTTGTGAATGTTCCCTCCAGTGGAGACTGATAAATAAGCAGTTTGTTTAACAGTCTCTTCCTTCTTTGCAGTGGAGCCGCACCTGGTGGAGCCCAGTACTGTCCACAGGGTTGGGGAGGTAACTACCAGCAGTGGCAAGCCCCTGGTCAACATGACCCCAGTCAGTATTTTGTACACATTTTGACAATGTACTTGTCTCAAAAGTTGTTTATCTTGTATGGTTTGCTAATCCTGGGTTCTTTTTCTCCCTCCCCTCCTTAGATAAGGCAGCAGCAGATCCTAACGCAGCATGGGCAGCATACTATGCACAATATTATGGCCAACAGCCAGGGGGTGCCATGGCAGGCCAGAGCCCAGGAGCCCCTGCTGCAGCAGCACCAGGGGACCAGGGCCAGGGACAGCAGGCTTCTGGTGGCCAGCCAGACTATACTAAAGCCTGGGAGGAGTACTACAAGAAGATGGGCATGAGTAAGTGAGCTTTACTTAGTACTGCATGTTAAATAGTCAGCTGTACTGTGTTTCAGTTGTATACTGTGAAATGAAAAGAGTACATGACTGTGCATCCAGTACTAAGGGTTTTTTGTTGTGTTTTCCAGCCCAGCCAGCTGGAGGGGCTGCAGCTGCTCCGGGCCCGGCAGCAGCAGCGGCGGCGGCAGCAGCGGCGGCAGCAGCAGGCGGGGGTGCAGCTGGAGGCCAGCAGGACTACAGTGCAGCCTGGGCTGAGTACTACAGACAGCAGGCTGCCTACTATGGACAGCCAGGGCAGGGGCCTGGACAGGGCGGTGCTCCACAGCAGGGACAACAGGTAACGAATACATGGACAAACTAACAAATTGACTTTGTTGCTGTCAAGGTCCAGTTTGTTCAACAATTGCCAGACGAGAACATTCACTGTACAACATGTGTTAAAACTCGTTTTCAAAGTTATGTTTCCACACGTGCCTTTCTGTGTTTAGAATAAAATACTGTGACAGAATAAATGTATAGTCAGGTGTTTGTTAATAATATTGTTGATTTATTCTTTATCTTCAGAGATGACCTGTGGTGTTGCCATTAAAAGAGCATTCCTGTAACATTATTTAACTTTAACCCATCCAGGCATTCAAAAGCTTAAGAACATGGAACATGCATTCAGTTCCTTTTTCAAAGGGGAAAACCTACAGCAATGTGTAATACTAATTACACTTTTTTTCCTCTCGTTTCAGGCCCAGTAAAACGATTGGCTCAGCCTGTTTGAAGGTTGTGATGGCCCTCTGGACTTGTTCGTCTTTTCTATCAAGAGATTTTCTTTTGGCTTTGACAAGACAAGACCATTCTCATCCAGCCAGACATTTTCTATTCCAATCTACTTGTTTTTTTAAAGTCAAAATTGAAGAGAAAAGGGATCACATTTTGCCCATGCATTGAACAAAGCACTAAATAACTACTTGGGTTGCTATTCAGTTTGCCCCTTCACCTCACCCACACCTTGTAATAATTTTGCTCATTTAAAAAAATAGTGAAATGTGATAAGCATCTTTGTTTGCAAGCTAGCACAACAGCATCCTGACACTGACTCACGTTTAAGTAGTTTTTCCCCTACAATTTCCTGTGGGTAAAAAAAAACGTTCTAGCAGTATTTTGAATATATTCAGAAATTATGTTTGTAAGAAAAATTAAACCATTTTTTCTTTCTTCTTGGTACCTTTTTTTAACTTTTTTTTTAACATTCCCAGTGTATATTGCAGGTGTATTTTCCCCTGCTGTCCTGATTTGTTATTTTTAATTTTATTCATTGTAATTACTTTCCTTAAGGGGGTTGTGTGTGTCTGTATACAGTGTATGCTACTGAACAGAAATGTGTGTAAGTTGGCTGTAATAAGGCATTAACTGTCCTACACAATGTAGGTTGGTTGTGTGTGCATGTTTGTGTGCTTGACTGCCCTCAGTTAAATTTCCCCATCTTTATTGTCTGATTTTGTTTTTTGGTTCCAATAGGTCTGTTACTGTATGCTGTTTTTGTTTTCTTCTTTTTTTTAGATGTTATTTTTTACAGCTTGTTTTTAAATACTTAAAATAAAACATTCAATTTACCTCATTTCGTTCTTCTTCTGTGGTACTCCTGTGTTTGAGAGTTGGTCGCTCCCAATTTAAACACCATGCTAAAGACGCATCACATGACACCCGATGTCAGACTGATTCTATGTGTACACATTTTAATTCTGTAAGTGACACCCGATTCATTTATATATGTATAATTCAGACATCGCTTTAGTAGGGGCTTCCTGCAGTCATCTGTTGGGCTCCACCTTTTGTTTCGTCCGTCATGAATGTGTCCGCCGGCTATAAGGGCTGTCTCGTGAGGCCTGCGGACCAATCACGTCAGTCCTGACTGGAGCGAGCTACTACAGTTGAGAGGGAGATGGCGCCCAGCTCGAAATCAGAAAAGGACGATAGCAAACAGAAATCTCAAAGAAAACACAAAGACCATGTCGTGAAGCTTCTCATGCGTGGGAAGGTAGGCATGAATTCAGAACACGTGTGATATTAAACACTGAAAGTAGTTCAGCAACCGCTGTTGTTAAAGCGTTCTGGAGCTAGCTGCTAACTAGCTTGAAAGCTAACATCTAATGGCAGGCAGGTGGCTAATTAGTCTATGCTAAGAATGGACACTCTGGTATCCCCCTTGCTTTCAAGCAGCCTTTCTCGATATGTATATCTCTTGGTGTGGCTTGCTAACATGCCTGTAGACTCCTGTGTGAGCAGTGTTGGCGTGCTAGCCTAGTCAACCCGTCAACAGCGTTTCATATTGAACCGTGAAAGCTCTAGCTAAACCACAGCAGAAACTTGCCGGATTGCATATTAAGTAATTAATGCAACCATCAGATATAACGTTACCCACGTTAGTATGTTTGATTTATAAGCAAATGGTTTACTGTATATACGCTAGCCATTAAGATCATTGCGTGTTACTGTGCAGGGTTATGACTGAAGCTGAGTTTGTTTTGTATCAACGACACGCTATTTCATTATTAGTGCAATTTCCATATCTTTTACACACACTTTTCATGCGTTATGATGCACGTTGTATTTCACTATTATGTTGTCTAAAACTACTCTGTTGCCTGCCCTGCAGCTGTCAGGACATTTTTCTCAGCGTCTCTTTAGGAAGCTGCCACCGCGAGTGTGTGTCCCGCTGAAGAACATCGTCAGTGAGGAGTTCCTGAGAGCAGGGTCAGTGTTTGCGTGTGTTTACTCAATGGGTTTGTTGTCATTATGCAACTTGTCTTATACAATGGACAGAAATACACTTTGTTAAACTGAAAGCATTTCAAACCAAATGGTGTGTTGAGGATTGTTGATGCTCATGCTCTCTGAATATTATCTGCTAGTACGGATGCACCAATACAACTCAGTCTCAATACAATAGTTTATGTCCAATACCAATGCTTTGTTTTCACTTAATTAACAAATATGTGTTGACACTTAATTTACTTATTGGATTAGAAAATCCTACTAGTGGCCATTATACTCAGATTGAGGATTGATTATGTGTATTATTGAAGCAGAGGGCTGTTTTACAGTGTTGTGTGATGTTTTTTGTTCCAGGCATGTGTTTCTGGGTTTCACCAAATGCGGTCGCTACGTTCTGTCCTACACCAGCGACTGTGGAGAAGATGACGACGACTTCTCTTTCTATACCTACCTTCTCTATTGGTGGGAGTTTAACCTGCACAGTAGACTCAAACAGGTACATGAAAAGAAACATACTCACTCCATTAGAATTCTATGCAAAACCACATCCTCCTTTGAGAGTTATAAGTAGTGCTTGAATTGGGCCGGTACTCACCGGTACGCAGTATCGGCACTTCTGATTTTTACCCATGTGGTACCGGCACTTCTTACTGAGTACCGGCACGTCATGACGCATGACAACAAATATGCCCAGCGTACCCATGGATGTATAATAATAACTGGATACAGCGTGGGAGGTGGGGCCTCATTCATTCCTATGAGAGCTGCTCATTGGCGCCAGAGCGTACCTAGATGCGTCATGAGATGCCGCATCTAAGACGCGCCGCAGCGATAGACTAGAGCAGAAAAGACATCACATAACGTTAGCATTTCGAAAATGTTAGCGTGGCTTAATAATAGTGTGAAAAGACAGCGGTTGCAGTGCATGACATTAAGGATTTTGGGAGAGGGCCATCTAAGCTAATTTACAGATGGCCCTGAGCCCAATAGAGATTGCCCTGAAAAATGCGCGCGGAGGAAATGGCACGAAGGGTTTGGGGGGCCTCCGTCCCCCTAGAAAATTAAGATTTTTGCAGGTCTTAGATGATGTCTGGTGCATTCTCTAGACTGAATTATAAGATGAACCACCACAATATTATATTGTACAATTTCAATTTTATTCTTCATTTCACTTGTTTGTTCTTGTTTGTGTTTGCTCGCTTGCATGCCCTGCATAGCTATAAGAAACACTTAAGTTGTTGGTCAAGACACTTTCCATCTGATGGAAAAAAGTAGAAAACATTACATTCAGTTATAACTGCCAAAACAAACATTATTTACACTATTATGGCCCCTGTTAAAAATGTTTGTAATGTTATCTACTGTAAGTTGGTCGAACGAATACCTCCTCATCCGGAAGCTGACCGAGCAGCAGTCGAGAGGAGCCGAGCGCATCCGCGAAGCACACAAAATGGCGACGTCAGAGTTCCCGTTAGCCGGCAAATCTAAATCTCTTCGGTCAAAATAATTTCCCTTTAGCGCAATACCGCTTCAGTTGCGCCATTTATGTGACAGACAAGAAGAGTATGTGACAGACAAGAATAGTCCATTCTAATGTCTAACACTTCATGTGGAGAAAGAGATGTCCTGTATGGGTTGATTGTGCGTTGATCTGTTGGTAATGCCTCGGGGTTCCGGTGGGCATGTAAACAAATGCATAATGCTGCGCTATACTTTGTGGCCTCACCCGGTTGCATAGCGACACTTATTGTTTAGGTGTCTTTTAATAAGCAGGTAGTCATATCATTAGCTAGAACTAGCTGGATCTGATCGATATGGACATAAACGCGAGTGAAGTCTAATCTGACGGGAGAGAGAGATCAGCTGCTGCTGACGAGTCGACACGCAGATCTGCATGATCACATGCAGCGGTGAGCGGACAAAACACACACTTCAGGTTAGAATATCACACGTAGCTATTTTAATGACCTCTCAAACTACCTAAACTAGTTATAGATATGTTTAGTTTTACTGTCGGGTCACTCATTACTGGATCCGCGAGCTGCATGATACTGGCATAATAGATTGCCCGATCGGGCAACCAGCAGGTGAGGCTTCATTGCCCGAGCTAAATACTAGATGGCCCCGGGCAGTCGTTAATGTCGAGCTCTGGGTTGTCGCCGGACAAGGATTCCCTCTCTCCTTTCTGCTGAAAGATGGTGAGTGTACTCAGGGACGAGGAGTCATTTAACCAGCCGCCAGTAGGAGTCAAGGCTTTACTTTCTTTTATATCCATAAAAGAAAAAGGAAATCTGTTTACAGTTGTTTCATTATGGATGTTGAGAGGTATCCATATATCTCTTCATTTTGCTCTCAAAGTGCACCAGATTGATGCATCTAACTTCAATATTTAAAAAAAAAAATCTTCCCGGGGGAGCATGCCCCCGGACCCCCCTAGAGGGTGTCAGGTCCACTCCCCACTTATAAAAATAGCACTTTACCACTGCACCCCCTCTAATCTCAGATGCACCCTGAGTCATTTTGTTTAAGTACAGTGAGCCTTTCTACAATATACAGTAAAGAGACAAACCCACCAGCATTATAGGATATACTATGACTTTGAGCCAAATACTTGTTTTTGGGCTATATCATTTTTTTTTTACTTGAAACCGTTGCTGATTTAGAGTACTGGCACCTTTTTGATTCCAATTCAAGCACTAGTTATAAGTGAAGAACTTGGATAAGTCATATGCATTTACGGATGTGCTTTTCTTTATCTCATCTCTGTTTTTTGTCTTTAGGTCCATCATGTACGTCTGTTTGCAGGAGAGGAAATCTACAGCGACCTCTACCTGACCGTGTGTGAGTGGCCAAATGACCACTCCAAAATCGTTATCTTTGGCTTCAAGTAAGGACACAAAAAGATCTCAATATTAAGCTGATGCATATCTGGCTATTTATTTTGCAATGTTTAGGTAATGATGAGTAATTGATGTGTCCTTCCACCTGCCAGTACACGCAGTTCAAGCTCCGTGCTGATGAACTTAATGATGAGTGATGAAAACAACAGAGACATCTACATCACTATTGCCTCCATGCCTCCACCTAAACCTTGCTCTTACTGCTGCCCTGTTCCCTCAGCCACTACCATACGCACAGGTTAATACACACATACTCACACATTGACTACTTTATTGTTTCCTGTCCCTATCTCTCTCTCTTTCTAATCTGACTTCATCCCTTTCTCTCCCCAGGAAGTGGTGAGTGTCTGGAGCATGGCTATGTGCTCAACAGCAGGTACCAGGTGGTGTACCCGTTCCCCACCTTCCAGCCAGCTTTCCAGCTAAAAAAGGACCAGGTCATCCTGTTGAACACTAGCTACTCTCTGGTGGCCTGCGGCATCTCACTCTGCCCAGGTAACACTCGAACACAGACAGCTCGTTATTGATTCCCATTAACCCCTGCCTGTTACCATCATGTGACATCATAATGTTTCTTTTGCAGGTAAGCAGGGCCAGTCATCACAGATTCTTTACACAAAGAGAGCATCTCTGTCAAGTCAAGGCTCTACATTTTCTTCCTCCACATCCTCGGCCTCTTCTTCCTCACTACCTCAGGGATCTCCCGAAAGCCGACCGCCACCTAGCAGACCCACTTCGATTCCCTCATCTCCGAGCCAGTCGCAAGCAGCCGTTCGAGCGCGAGAGTTTGCAGCTGACCTCTTCAGGAGGGCCCAGGGAGGAGGAGGAGGAGGAGGGGGGAAAGAGGACGAAGACCAGGCTGAGAGAAGACCATCTGATGGGACGAAGGAGGCAGTGCAGTTACCAGGAGACAAAGGGATTCATGAAGAGACAAAGAGGGAGGAGGCAGATTGTAAAAAGAGGAGGGAGGAAGAGGAAAGACGGACTATTTTACCACAAGCGTCAACATCAAGAGGGAGCCACAGTGTGCCACAGTCCTCTGAACAAGGGATGTCTCCTGCCTCCTCTTCCTCATGCTCTTCCTCCCCCCCATCCTCATCCCAGGAGTTTGGCCCCAGCGAGCCTGGATATGTCAACTATTCACTCCTGCAGTACCGCCTCCAACAGCCGGGGGCAGCGGAGCAGCCTGCGGGAGGTGCAGGAGGTGAGAGAAAAAGGGAGGACACACAGATGAAGAATGTGTGAAAAATGTCTGAAGCTGCTGACCCACATTCTTCTTCTCTGTTTCCGTGTCTCCAGGTTATGTAGACGATAAAGTTCAGCTGCCTTTCACAGTCACTGACCTGAAGGGACGGAACCTGCAGCTGGTCACCGGGCCACACAATGGACAGGTGCGTGTTTGTAATCTGTGGCTGATTCCGAAACACTGGGATACACATGTTACCTGGAATCTAGAGTCAATAATCAGGTACATTGAACCTGTTTTATATCTCCTGCAGAGTGTGTGTGTGGAGCAGCTGACTTTAGACTTTGAGTATCTCATCAATGAGGTGATCAGGAGCGATGCTGCCTGGGCCCCTCAGTTCTGCTCGTTCAGCGACTACGATGTTGTGATATTAGAGGTCAGTGCACAAACACACACAAAACAACAACTACATAAATACCAGGGTAAACACATTGAATATGCATGATTGAAAAAAACAACAGCGTCGCATGCAAATCAGAATTTGAATGTCATTGTTCAGCCCTAGTAGATGGATTGTTTCTAGCTCTCCTGTCTGAGCTGGAACAAAAAAACAGGAAGTACATTTTATTTGACCTGGAGATAATGGGTGTATGATGGGTCTCAGGTGTGTCCTGAAACCAACACAGTGATGATCAACATTGGTCTGCTGTTACTGGCCTTCTCCAACGTGGACGAGGAGCACTGCAGGTACGTCTTAGATAAACCCAAAGCCCTCTTCAGCCCTGCTAATTATTCTCGTCCCACTAAAGTCTGCTTTTTCTTGTTTTTGTTTCCAGGCCAAACACGTATCATTCCAACCTGCAGGTCAGCTGGGACCTCAACACAGGTGTGTGTTGCACCGTGGGTGTAGGTGACCTGACTGAGGTCAAGGGTCAGACCAGGTGAGGAACTTCTGCCAACCACATTTAGCTTTTTGTTAATGTATTTATTGTTATGTTTCCTTTCTTTTGAGTTAAAGTGTTCATTCTCTCTCCCTTGTCAGTGGGAGTGTGTGGAGTTCTTACAGGAAGTCGTGTGTGAACACGGTGATGAAGTGGTTGGTTCCCGAGAGCAGCTCCCGCTACATCAATCGCATGACCAACGAAGCTCTACACAAAGGTGAGCCACACACACACACACACACACACACACACACACACACAAACTTCACATCTTTAATTTTTCTATTCACATCTGAACAGTGTGGGCTGTGTTAAATAAACATGTTTACTTGCTGATGCCATCTTAACTGATTGGAAACCATGGTAATAGGGTAAGGACCTGATTTATATTAGATGAATAGTTCCTAATCCATTTCTCCTGTCCTATCATAAGGTGTATCATTTAGCTGTCCTTACTTGCCAACGTTCCTAATGGCTGCTTGTTTATTGCCTTTGGAAAAAAAAAAAAATGCCAGCAGGTAGAACCTAAAGAGAGGCATACGGTAGACACTCACAATGTGTTGCCACCAAACAGTTATGGTTATACACACACACACACACACACCTTTGAATTCCTCTACAGATGTTACCAACACCTCTAACTCACCTGTCTTAAAGTTAAGTGACTTTCATTGTTTTTGCACATTTCAAAAGGTTTAATGTTTTGGTAGGTTTCAACAACAGATACAGAGTGTTTAGCTTGGCTTAAGCTGGCATAACAAGAGCTTTTTTGCGTTTCAGATACTTTCCCAAGTACACTGTCATTTCGAACACTTGCGTGGGGGGTGAATCTCGACTAGCATTGTTTTAAATCGCACACGGCTGCTGTGCCCTCAGAACTGTTAGCTCGCTAGCAATGTCATTATTGACAGTAGCAAATTATTTACACTGATGCACTGAAAATAACACATCAGTACGCAAATGTAGATGCCGTATTAGAACATTTTCTCTGATACAGCCTCTAGCTAATGCCTGTTAGCTTGATTTGCTTTGATCTAAATACACTTGTATACATCACTGCTTTGTTTGCCAGGCTTACAACCATTTTTTGTTCACATCATGCAACAGTATGTCTCTAATAATGGATCACATTTTGACTTGTCGCAGCAGGAAAGGCTCAGGTTAAACTAATGCTGGCTTTGCACCTTTCAAGTGTGTGGCTAAACCCCCACAAGAGCAGACAGTTTGACACTTGTTACAGTAGGAAAAACACAAGTGTTAGTAATAACGTTAATGATGGTGCTGTTCTATTTCAATGTCAATCATAAAAGTGTGTCAGCCTGGAAAAGATACAGAAGCCCTTTTGACACAGCAGGAACCACACAGGTGTAAACATTCAAAATGAATGATGGCTGAACTCTGTTCAGCTAGAATAGTGCATTCTGGCTCGCTGTCACCTGTCCTGGCTTATTGGGAAGATTAAATAAAATGGTAATGTGTCTTCAGCTGTGTCTTCCTACTATGACATGTCATTATGTCTGCTGTAAAAATGGGCTAAATCAGCAGCCAGAAAACAACAAAAACAGCTTTTCAGTCCATCACATTTTAATGTATACCTATTGTGACACTTTACACTGTTATTAGACCCATATTACACAGTTCTTTACCTCATTACACATTAATACACCCATGTTACATCATTACTGACCTTTTTTGATCATTTTAAGTGTTTATTTCAGATAAATGTAAGTCTTTATTTAGTATGAGTGTTGGTTAAAGTGTAATACATTTGAATGTCAGTTTCTGTCGTAGAAGTAAACACTCCCCGGAGGTATCATTAGAACTTTGTAGACCTAATGTAATCCTCACTGCCAGCCAAAAGAAACATGTGCTATCATAACCATTTTGAAGACAAAGGTGCAAATGTTGATTTGTGTGTGAGGACAATAATGAATTGTGCCTCTTTCCCCCGTAGGCTCGTCCCTGCAAGTGTTGGCAGACAGTGACCGATGTACCTGGATTGTATTATGAAGAAAGAAGAAGCAACGGAAACAGCCGAGCACACAGAGATGCATACGTCCACAGACAGCGCTTTAGTAACATGTAAATCTGTGTCAAATAGAAAACAACAAAAGTCGCTCCAATGCTGAAGAGATGCATTTTTTTTTTGGGTGAACTTTGTTCAATTTTACAGGTTTCATCTTTTTTTGTTTATTGTGTATTGCATCCACCAAAACCAAGAGCTGGACTGAATGAGGATTTAGTTTATAGTTTTTATACATAAAGGCAAACTGCTATTGGAGTGAGGGTGTCTGGTGTGTGTCTGTAACTGAACGAATGCAATATCTGTACCTGTGTAAGACTATTGTTTTTGTAAAAATAAAATGTTAAGAGTTACTTGCTTGTCTGTGGTATGAACAAATGGATACACATATTCTGCTAACAGTCAACCTTGCAGATCAAAGCAACACCTCACCCACAAAAGGACCATGTATATATCAATTACTCAACCAGTGTTACTTTGAATTCCTGAAGAAACATGTTTCTTACCTCCAAGGTGAACAAAGAACCTACAACAGCAACGTTGAATTGGGACTGCTTTTAACAACAGCAAAACTATACTAGAAACCTTCTATGCTCACTACTTCCAAAACCTGTGCATCTCTCTTAAACATTGCTACCTAAAACACTGCATAAAGAATCACATTTGCCAAGACATGTTTCTAAACATCCAGGTCCTGGATGGATATCCTCGTGGATTCATCTTCCTATTATACACACATGCATTTCCAAACATTTGGTCTACCTATGTTGCAAATGTATTATCTTTTCAATTTACACACGGCATCTATTGCACGTCTGTCCGTCCTAGGAGAGGGATCCCTCCTCTGTTGCTCTCCCTGAGGTTTCTCCCATTTTCCCCTTTAAACTGGGTTTTCTCCGGAAGTTTTTCCTTGTACGATGTGAGGGTCTAAGGACAGAGGGTGTCGTATTGTCATACTGATATTCTGTACACACTGAAGACCACTGAGACAAATGTAACATTTGTGATATTGGCCTATATAAATAAACATTGATTGATTGATAAATGGACCTTATGAAAAAGTTTGACTTTTCTCGGTTTACAAATGTCATTTTTTGGATGAAGCAGTCCTTTTAAGAGGCAGTGAGTGTGAAAGTAAATATGCTTTCAAGTTGCATTATGGGGAACGTAGGACCCAGTAGTTTAGAGCTTGAGCCTTAAGACTAATGTCCAGAAGATCTCAGTCTGTAATAATATAATTTCAACCATTATTTAAAAAATTGTTTATTTTCCCCGAATGTATGCAAGTGCAATAACACTGGAGATCCCCTTTAATGAGTTAAGGGACAACGGTTGTGAGACTGGTCCAGGTGGTGTGATTGAGCAAAGTCTAGAGTGGGTACTTGAAGAAAAGAAAATCTGGCACATATTTTGAGAGTAATTGCATCTTTTAGTTAACATGGAAAATATAGCTACAAACACTTATAGATTTAATAACAACAGTCTTCAGAATCACATCAAGAGGACCTCGGTTAGAAAAGGTTCAGCAGCACAGGTTGAGGACAGATTCAATGTCACATTTTGTATAGTAGTGACATCCCAGTTGGCGGTTGATTCTATCTGCCCTCACCACATGAAGCCATGTAAATATAGGCCAACCTTTGTTTTCTATTAAGTGCTCTTTGGTGGGGTATATAGTCGGACCACCCTGAAGGACCGTCAAACACTTCCTGTTACGCCATGTGACAAGCTGCTGGTTAAGCATGTGGGTCCATCATCACAATAAAAAATATAGTTCAATAATCTGTGTAGTAGACATAGCACAACATGTTTTCTCTTAAGGCAACAATGGTTAGACAGCACACAAATAGTCTGGATGTGTGACAGTGTTCACAAAAGATACGTAATATAGATTTTCTACTAAATGTTACACAACATTGATACTCAGAAAATACACAACTGCTTTTCCACTTCAAAAACTTTGAGCTGGTACATCTAAGCTGGTACAAAGGTTGCCATGGATACAGTGTAGTAAGTGCTGCTGGGTGCTGTGGCCCATCCAACTTGCACTGCACCTGTGTGTGTGTGTGTGTGTGTGTGTGTGTGTGTGTGTGTGTGTGTGTGTGTGTGTGTGTGTGTGTGTGTGTGTGTGTGTGTGTGTGTGTGTGTAAAGGAAATGTTGATATTGAAAGAATGAATGGATGATGGATGGAAAACAGCAAACTGCAGAATCACGAGGCTCGACTGTCTACATTTTTTTGTCACAGCTAGTAAAAGTTCATGACAACACCGAGACCACTTCACAGGACCATCATTTATTAATCCACCGATACAGAATATATAGAATACAAGCTTTTGTTCAAGAAAACTCTCAAAGGCACAGGGTATTAGTTCATTGGCCAAATTAATAAGAAATGGCATGAAGTAAAATATGGCTTCAACATACATGATCCAGTATCAGTCCAGATGCTACTCTGAGATTTAAAAAGTGTTTTTATATTTCACTTAAGTCCAGCTCCCCTGCATAGTCATGGCTTTAAAGGCAAGGTCAGAGATAGTTATGAGTTAAGAGTACAATGAATAATCTCCACACAGATATCAGGTCAGTGATTAAGGCGGGGCAGAAGGGAATTAAGAATATAATATATATATTTAGGTATATAAATATATTTGAGGCTGGACACAGGAGTAGCTAGCCACTGGATAATTACAGGCACAGGGAACCAGGGAAGGACTGTGGTGAAGTCAAAAGAGAAAGAAATGGCAGCACAAAAGCACAAAATCGGCAAAGGGCTCTCCCACTTTCACATGATTGCACACACACAAACACTCAACACCGAAAATCAGCTGTTTGCAGACAAAGAGTGACAGGATGGGATGACATGATGTTAAGGATGACATGATTTAAAGCAAATGTGAGTGAGTGTGTGTGTGTGTGTGTGTGTGTGTGAGTGTGTGTGTGTGTGTGTGTGTGTGTGTAGATATTTTTACAGATGAGCAGCTAAGGAGGTGTGCTGTTGGTGAGAGGGTGCAGACTGAAGGTGGTCCTGGGCAGCTTGGCGGGCGGCTCCATGGAGTCCTTGTCGTCGTCCATCGCACTCAGAGAGCTGGACTGCAGCACCAGATCCCCTCCCTCGTCGTCGCTCTCCTCGTCCTCGTCATCCTCCTCTTCTTCTAATGGAGAAAAAGGCATTTATGTGACATTAAGCGACCTGATTAACAGAGACTATGACTTGAAACTTAACCCCTAAGTGGTTTCTGTACCCTAGGAGATACAGTCATTTGACAGGCTGTTTCCATGTGAAAAATGGGTGTTATAATAACATTGTAATATAGGTGTGATAACAGTGTAACATGGGTGTCATACAGATGTTATAATGATGTAACATGGGTGTCATAGGGGTGTGTAATGTGTAATGTGGTACAAAAACAGTGTAATATGGGTGTAATAACAGTAATATGGTCTAATAACACCGTAACATGGGTTAAGTATTGGTGTAATAATGGTGTAACATGGGTGTATTATATTTGTAATTGGGAGGGTAAATGGATGTGTAATATGGGTGTAACAACAGTGTAATATGGGTGTCATGAAAAAAATGGCCATCAATTAATTTCCCTAAAAATGTGTTTGCCCATTTAAGGGTCTACATATCTGCAAGAGAATCCAACTGAATCTACCTTTGTCCAGGTCGGGGGAGATGCGGCTCTTGACAGCGCTGGCAAACTGCAACACAAAGGTAAGCATTTAAAAATCATCCAGTTGAGACTGCTGCCATGTGACAGTATTTACAGGTACGTACTTCTCCCATGACTGCAATGGGTGTCACCCCTTTAGCCTGGGCCACCCTGTGCTCTATCAGGTAGTACATGTACTCGTCATACAGCAGGCGGATCAGGTGGAAGGATCCGAAGCTGGCCGCGCTGCGCAGAGTCAGGTCCCGGATCACCATGGAGCTGGGGAGAGAGCAGAGGAGATGATCCAACGTCAGACCAAACAACACCTAAAGCACCTTACCCGAGGCTAGCAGAGGAATCCCAGCTTTATAGTTTCTTTTGTTTTCCCCATTTCAATATCCCTGAACAAACTGCATTGTACTCACACCACCTCACTGCATTTAAATGTGTATATTAATAAAACAACAAAATAAAAGAAAGTTTGCACACTTTTAAAATGTAACGTTTGTATTTTTGTTGTAGTTTATTGGTATTTTATATTGTGTATTCTATAGATACTCTATTGATATATATCTGTCTTACTGTTGATATGTATAAATGTACTGTTTATATTTAATGATATTTAAAACGCATGTAATACATACTGCTGTGACTCCCAATTTGGGATGAATACATTTGATCTAATCTAATCTTCATTACTTTGACATATCCCGTTTTGTCCCCCCCTCACCTGTAGAAGGACCAGTTGAGCAGGAACACCTTGGCAGCCTTGGGCAGGGCGCTGGGGTTCTGCTCGTAGGGCCTCAGGGCCTCGGTGACCACCCCGTCCAGCCACGAGGCCCACTGCTCCAGAGAGTTCTGCTGCTGCAGCGTCACTTTGAAGTCCTGCTCCAGCCGCTGCACCACGCTGTCTCCACACTGACACACCCAGGAAGCCTGCTCCTGAGAGGGGAGAGGAGGGTTACACTGCTGTCTCTCACCCAAAACACTCATGTGCATGGAGAATCAGAGGCCAACCATGCACACATATTTTGGAAATGCCAAAAAATGCTTAAATTCTGGGAATCGGTACACAAGGTTTTGCAAAAGATACTGAGATATGAGGTTCCTATGGACTACATGGTACTCTATCTGGGCAATTTTACAGAGGGAAATGTTCTCTACATAGATAGATATTTTGTAAAAATACTGTTGATAGCTGGCAAGAAGGCCATAACTAGGTAGTGGTGCAAGGTGGAGCCTCCTACTATGGAACAATGGAAGGAGATCGTGGAGGAAATTCACATAATGGAAAAAATGACATATCGACTGAGACGGCAAGAAACACAATATGTAGAGAAATGGGAGAAATGGTCAATGTTTAAGATTCAAACCAGCGACAAGGAATACTGACTGATTGAATAAGAAGAACTGTTCTGACAAATGGTCAAATGAGAATGTGACTCCCGACTGCATTTTTATTTTATATGATCTCTGTATTTGTATTTATAGCTGTATTCAAGGTTCAAGGCTTTTATTAGTCATGCGTGCTGCATAGCTACAGTGTAGTTATGACGATGAAAATCTTAGGTCACAGGCTCCTCCAACAGTGCAACACAATAAAACTGATAAACAGAAACAAATAGTGCAATAAATAGTAAATACAAAAGGAAAAATAGTAAAAAAGTGAAATAATGAAATAGTGCAAGTGATTGGAATATGATATATTAGATAAATAATTCCTAAGTAGCAGCCAGATGAATGTTATGGATGTTGTTTCTAAGTTCAGGTGTTTAATAGTCTTATGGCCTGTGGGATGAAACTGTCCCTGAGTCGGGTGGTCTTAGTCCGGATGCTGCGGTACCGCCTGCCAGACGGCAGCAGACAGAACAGTTTGGGGCTGGGGTGATGGGGGTCTTTTGTAATCCTGAGGACTTTCTTCCTGAGCCGCTGGGAGTAAAGATCCTCCATGGATTGCATTGTTTATTTTGTTTGGGTTGTCATGTACGTGCACAGCTGCTGTTGTAATGATTTTATATAATAAAAAGTAAAGTGAGACAAAAACTAAAACACTCGTGTGCAGTAGTAAATGGGAGGGTGGGGACAGTGGTACTAACCTGCACGTTAGTAAAGTCCACCCGGTTCAGGTCTGAGAGCATCTGGTTGATCTGGGCGGTGTTCTGCAGCACGGCGCGGGCGGCCTGGGCCAGGTGGTTCAGACTGGTGTAGCGGCGCAGCGTCTGGGAGAAGGAGCCCACACACACCACCTGCAGCACAGAGGGGGGGAGGGTGAGGGTGAGGGGGGAAAGAGGCGCTTGTCAGGAAGAAGCAACAATAAGTAAGTTCAGAGTCTGTTTTTCTAACCGTGAACCATCTGTTAAAGTCTGACATTTAAAACAGTTCGGTAATAATGACTACATTCAAAATGTTATAGATGCATGCATGTGTTATGTGAAAGGGATAATGTGGAGCAAAGGCAGTCATTATTGAAAAAAGAACACTGGACAGGGGGATGAGTATTCAACTAAGCCGTGTAATAAGGATCATTTAACATCCACAGCCCTGTTATGGATAAAGCTACTGAGAAACTGTCTTTTAGCTAAATACATGAAGCGACAAACTTTCATAACAAATCCGCCAATATTCTAGTTGTCAATCCTTAAGTCATTTAAAAGGGCTGCGCACCAGAATAATTAAATAAATATTTTGGTATTTGTAGAACTGGCGCATAGTGCATACTATAACTTGGTATGGAATCAACACAGAAGCTTATAAATACCTTGATGCGAACCATCTCCTCTGGGATGTTCATCAAGGCGCCTGTCAACCAGTTCTCCAGACTCTTGGCAAAGTTGCGGATGGCCTGAGTTAAGGCACCTGAGGGAGGGATGGTGGAGAAGTGAAAAGGATAGAACAGGGGGTTATCAATTATTGTATGTATCCATCATATTGAGGCCAGCATGCTGTAAAATCGTGATTGCCTCACAGAACACTTTTCTACTCAGGCCTCTTACGGGCCTTACTAACTCACTGGGGATGGGTCTCAGCACATCAGAGATGAGGATCTCCACCAGGGTCTGGTAGAGCAGGTTGTCACACTCCTTGGTCCAGCGCAGCACCGGCTCGTACTTACACAGCACCACCAGGCAGGATTTGGGCAGACGCTTCTCCGACTCATTGTGCCTGGGGAGAAGACGACAGAGCGTTCATACCGAGTGGAGATACTCTGCATGGGCTAGTATTTCTTTCATCACATTGTAGTATTGGCCCTTACAGGTTGAGGGATTCTGTGTCGATGCTCTGGCTGAACCTCCAGAAGGATTTCCACAGCGTCTCCACCAGGGTGAACTGGAGGTTGACCATCACGTCCATTATGGCCTGCGGGGGTCACACACAACACCACAGAGGTGAGTCCACACACTTCTGTTTGGAATGCTGTGTATGTGGACAGAGAACAGTCAGTGTGCTCGTCCTGTCTCTGCCTACCTCACAGTGTTCTCTGTAGAGCGTCTGAAAGGCCTTCAGGTGTTCTACGATGATCCCGTCAGGCAGGGGCCGAGCTTGCAGATCGATTTCCACAAAGTCAGGCAGCGGCCTCGATGCTTCTGATTAAGAGAGAGCAGTTGTTCACTACTTGTTTACGGGAGTGCCAGGAACAGAATCATTGAACATTAAGTAGTGTACTCCTGTTAAACATAACTAGAGACCTTTTTTAGAGGGCTTACCCAGAAACTGTTGATACTGTTGCACCTGAGCTGAAATATCACAAAGTCCTGAGGCCTGCTGACCCAGCCCACCTGCTGTGCCATTGGTGATCCCCTGTGCCTTCTGAAGTGGCTTTAACCTATTAGAAAAAGTTAAGAGTACACATCAGTCAGAGCGACAGAAAAAGCTACAGGGAATACATAAATGTTTAAATGAAAAGTGCATATATTATACAGAAATCACGAAAGAGGGATTTTTTTAAGCTGATGGTTGAAGTTTTTTTGTTTAAAATAAGTCCCTCCTCCTGCATGACTCTTCTTTTCCCCCCTCTGTGCTCAGCACCTCTCACCAGAAGAACCCAGGCATGTGCATGCGCTCATACAGTATGTAAGTATGGAAATGACCGTCCTGAATAATTTCGCAAACTTGTAAACCTGTAAAGCCCTTAGAGATGACAGACTGTGATTGGACTCTATTGCACTACATACACATGAGTTTGAACTAGCTAAAGCCGTGAGCCTTTGTCTACAGGTAGCAGAAAGCTAAATGACTAGAACAATGATTCTCCATATCTACAAATGCTTTGCCAACATTGTGAGACTTTCTTTTGGAAAAGTCTGCCTGTCTCTTTTGGGGTTGATTTGAAGTGATGACAGTTGTTGCCAATGCTGAAATAGCAACTTTTCAATCAGTAAATTAGCATTGTACCATCTGAAGGAGCGTGCAACACATCTGCGAAACAGCCAATAGGAACACTCTCTTAAATGACATGGCCAAAGTCTACTGTCACATGCAAGGACGTGCAGAGGTCTAGTTCTCTCTCACTAAACTTGAAATACTGTACAATATGCTGAAAAGTGATTATGGAATATTTGGGCAATGATGCTTCAAGAAACGGCCTAACCCAGCTTTACGTAATGTAATACACCCATAGCCACAGGGACACTGTACGCAGTGGGGTGTGGATACCTGTTTTTCTGTGAGAAAGGCTGCTGCCTCAGCGCCATGTGCTGCTGTTCGTCCATCAGTCTGAGCAGCGGGGACCCAGATTTGATCCTCAGGCCGTAGTAGTGGTACTTTGAGTTCCCTCTGAAACACACACCAACAGTTATAACAATGCCCTCAGGTGCATTGCTATAAAACTCTAGTGTATGTGTTAATACCTGGTCCCCAGTCTCCGCGTCCGGAGCCCCATGAAGACGGACCTGATGAGTTTGCCGAAGGATGCGGCGTTAACAGGTTCTAGTTTCTGCTCCTGGCAGTGCAGCAGGTAGTGGTAGTAGAGGGTGCAGCGGGGTAAACTCACCCCCTCCGCCCCCTCGTAGTTATCACACAGCCACTGCACCTAAAGAAGATGGTCAGATTTAATTTCCTGAACTTTAATTTTCTTATAGTGTAACCAGTTTGTTGTTCACTTTTTGACTCACAGTAGCAGGTGGGGCACGAGAGTTAGGGCTGGAGTAACTCTGTCCTCCTCCACCTGTTGCTCCGCCTCCTAAAACATAGCCTCCCTGAATGACATAGCCCCCTCCGCCCACAGAGGCTCCGCCGCTATTGGCTCCAGCTGTTGCCACAGAAACGGGCTGCGAGGTCACAGAGCCGGTGAGGTCTGACTCAGAGCTGGGCGTGGCCTCATAGTAGGACGAGGAGGTGGGGGGGGGTCTGGGAGTAAAGGGGCGAGTCGGAGAAAGGGTAGCTGCTCGATCGACTGCACACACACACACACACACACACACACACACACACACACACACACACACACACACACACACACACACACACACACACACACACACACACACACACACACACACAAATAAATACAGATAAACAAAGATGTGTGTTAAGAAAAGCAAGCGTAATTGCTTCATCGTTATATACATTTTTCATGCAAAACCTGTTGTCGTTAACCTCACAAATATGGAGATTGCACACAACATGCACACACAGCAGGTCCCTCTCTACTCACATGGAGGACGTGGTAAAGGTGGTGTCTCCTCCTCCGTCCACATACTGCACCTGACCGGAGTACACATGCTCCACCTGGACAACGAGCAAACAGGAGATTAAAGCAGCTTCATTGACAAGCTGTGAACCCAACATTGACATATCACCACACAAGGTTATGGCAAACTTGCGAACAGTATTTACACATCCAGGACCACAATGCAACATTAGCATCTTTTTGGAGTCGTGTATGTGTCCATCTGAGAAGTGTATTATTCACTCTTCTTATAGCTCTGTTTTTAGTATTCCTCTCACAGTGAGTTCCATGGCATTTTCTGTGTGTCGTTATTTGCAGAGCAGGAAGTGTATAATGGGTTTTAAGAGCTATGAGACGCCCTAGTATGCTTCACATTTACCGTAATAAATAGTGTGCAGACTTGTCAAGACCTGAATAAATGGTGTCCTTAGAAACATGTTGGTCTTCGGTTAATTTGGTCACCAGGTGGCAATACGGTTATAACCTGTTCAACATTTTTTTTTGCACTGCTGTTTGACTCTGTTTATCACCTAATGTGCCCTTTGGACACCTTTGGAAAAAATGTATATACAAAATAATAAATACAAATAATTAATGTTCCTTCTAATACTATAGGTCTTGTTGTTCTAATTACTGAGTGCTACGCTCTTTAACTGGCTCAGAAGAGGCCGAGCAGGCACAATTTCTGTACCCTGTTTGACTTCTTCCCATCATAACCTTTGTACATCAAATGAAGCAGTAAAGATGAGGGATTTTCTGGGTAGACATGACAGTTTGAATATAATTATTAGGGAACACAACTAAAAAGTATTAGGATAGCAGTCTGCCATTTAAGACAATTGAAATGTGGTGGTCCACAAACACTCCTAACAGCAGCAGGACCTGCAGAGCTCAGTGTTCAGGTACATGTCAGACAGCCTGGGGAGGCTGCATTATGGAGGTTTAAGACATTCGAATAAGGAAAACATGTATTTCTCTAGTTTCCATATGCCTGTAAAAGTGGACAAAGCCATTACTAATACATGCCATTGCACTTTAATTGATTGCATCTACTGTTTTTTTCCTTGTCTGTTTACCTCCTGGTTAATGTGCACAGACTGCAGGTTGTTGATGTGGCCGGACTGAATCCTCTTGGCTGCTTGCAACACTGACCTCTGCAGGTGAGTAAAGCCACAGTGTCAGATGGAACTCTGGGTGATTTACCATGTGTTTAAATGAATGTTGTTTGAGTTTATATCGGGGTATTACCTGTTGGCTGGTCTGCACTGGTTGGACCACCTGAGCAGGAACACCTGAGGCCGGCGGGCTGGAGTCTGACAGGCTGTCGTTGGAGTGAACAGAGCCCTCTATGGATGGAAGACAGGGTTCATCAGATATTTGAACAGAATCGAGGGAAAAGCCCAGACACTATTACCACAAAGTTAAGTACTCACGACACACTGCTTCCAAATCGTAATAACAACCATCGCAGAACATATTTTAGCAAAGTTCTCAGAGGAGACTGATAGCAGGGAGGTTAAAAAGTGTCTGTCTGTCCCACTCTGCTTCCATCCTTATATCTTGCATGCAGCAGGACAGCCTTGGACAGCTAATCTCCCCAGATGGAGAGAGAAATCAGTCCATCTTGTAAACATGCAGATCAGATGAGAGAGGGAAATGAGAGATACACGAGGAGGATGATGGAGGGAGGGAGAGAACAGAGGATGGAGGGCGGGAAGAGGAGAGGGTAAGATGTACTTCTTTGTACCCTTCAAATCAAATGAAAACATTATTCTAACTGTTTTCACCATGCTGCTTTTACTTCAGTTAACATAATTACGTTTTAGCCAGCACAGCCAACCCCTCAATGTAAAGTTGCATTAGGATAAGGTCTCAATACTCAATTATAGGTCACTCACAATGATAACATTATCCACTTTTGTGCAACATATAGACATGACCTCAAATGTTTACATGATCAACTTTTTGACAAAAGCTCCGGTCTGAAAACATTTTAGGGTAACGCCAAAAGAGAGAGGAGTTTAGTTTTTTGTGTGTCCTTTAACAAAGAAACAGGTTTAAATATCCTAGGCTCGGGAATCTAAAAACAATAGGTTTAAAATCCAGGTCAAGGGATTATAAAAAAAAGGATGGGAATTTTCTGGGAAAAGTTTATTAATGTTTTTTATACCTGTGTTATTCATGTTTTATGTTTATTTTATTATCTTTGCTTTTTAATGACTGCACTATTTCTTAATGCTCTTAATGTCTTTGACTTTTGTAAAGCACTTTGAATTACCTTGTGTTGAAAGGTGCGATATAAATAAACTTGCCTTGCCTTTATCTAACTTGTATATAACATGTTGTTACTTCACACTTAGTTAACAAAGGTCCTAACCATTGAAACTGGATTGGCAGTTTAATGCCTGTTGAAATAAATGACTTTCTACCCTTGTGAAAAAAATGCTTTAATCAAGTTTACATTATTTTATTATTATTGTGTGACTTTATTTTATATATTAGTATTCGTCAATTTCCAATTCCATTGTCTGAATATTCTAATTCAATTCACTTTTAAAAGTATGTAGTAAAGTGACATTATGAAGTAGCGGCTAAACAAATAAACATGTATCCCTTTCTATACATGATACCTCCTGTTGTGTTGTTATAAAAGAAGCAGGTTTTTAGAAAGGTTCTTTATAGTTAGACTGTATTTAGTGGAAAGCTTTAAGTTCATTATTCTAACCTGCTTTCATAAACTTGGATAAATAGAACAAAAAAGCACATAGCTCAAGCTTATTCTATTTTATTGAGCATGATTATTACGGAGCTACATCACTTTTTATTGCAGTGTATATGAGGGAATGCCATGTTTTAATATGCACAGCTACTCAACTAACTTTGAAGTCCAACTACATGAGTGTGACGGGCCCCCGGCCTGTGAGTCTCACTCTGAGGAGTGCACAGTGTTACTTGATACCAGCAGGCAAAAAGATCTACGAATAGACAACCCTAAAATAAACATACAGAGAGAGACACTGCTGCTGGTGTCAATTCTCTCTCATTCCCACTAGTTAACAACATATTTATAACAAAATAGCTGATTTATTAATGACTCAGCATTTGTTTTTTTAAATCCTTGAAACATTTTGAAAGAGCAATTGTCTAAATGGATTTCCAAAAATATCTGGAAATGGTCCAAAGCCTTGGAAGCACAAATGATATTAGCTACCATAAATAATGGCTTTTTTCTGAACCGCTGTCGAACTTCCACACATAAAGACATGTTGATTAAATATAATTGAAAACATCATTATACAACGGCACCGACTACCATTTGTATTTATATGCAACCCCCTGTCAGACAGGTTAACTACAAAAGTGTTTTTAGACCCGAGATGGATTTAAATCTCTTCTTGTCTTTCAAGTACCAGGAGACCTCAGTTATAGTATCCAACATATTCAATATGTCTGACCAATAGAACGAAACCGAAAGCTATTCAATTTGCACTTATGTAAAAAAAAAGGTCTATGGGCTTCTTTTGAATAAATAGAAAAAAAGATTACAACATCATTAGCAATTATTGTCAATTCATTTATGGACTGATTGTTCAAGGATTATATGATACCACGCTTAAAGAGATGGGTTGGCCCTGACAACTAAAAAGAATAGCTATCGTAGATATTTTAAAGGTGAATAAAGACAAAGAGTCAAAAACAGCTCCTCTCTGCACTGTTTGGTAACTAGATTCCATCCCTATATTTTGTTCAAACTGCCAGTCTCCAACCAGGATCCAGCCTGTTGCGTACACCCCTCTCTATGAATTGACTTGCAAGACAAACTAAGGCTTGCTCAGACTGCATGCCACATCATGCCCTCTTGCTGCTAAAACATGTGTGTGTGCACAGTATGTATTATGTAGGTATGTACCGGTCGTTCCACTGTCTCTCACCTGTAACAGTCACTATGATGTACTGAGGCGAGTTGCTCTGACCATTACTTTTCTGGACCGCAGTGTGTTGGATATCTGGGGGCACATAGTGTTGCGTGGGAGTTGTCAGAACCACTGGCTTCTGGCTGGTGGGCAGCGCTTGAGAACAAAGTGCGTCCCGTCCCGTTTTTGCGGCAGCGGACGATTGGTTCGCAGATGAAATGGTCCCAGAGGTCGGTGGGACATCGGACAGGAAGTGTGCCGTCTTTGCAGATGAGGGTGCGGTGGCACCAGGTGTTGCCATAGTTACTGTGTTGGCCTGCTGAGGCTGAAGGTCCTCCGAGTATCCAGAAGTTGCCATGGCAACCAATGCTTTGAGGCACTAGTTCTGCTGATAAAGACACAGCACTCATTAATGAAAGTGCTACGAGCAGAAAACAACACTCATTGTTGGCATGTTATACCTCTGTATGATTTAGCCACAACATGTGTGTGTGTGTGTGTGTGTGTGTGTGTGTGTGTGTGTGTGTGTGTGTGTGTGTGTGTGTGTGTGTGTGTGTGTGGTGTGTGTGTGTGTGTGTGTGGTGTGTGTGTGTGTGTGTGTGTGTGTGTTGTGTGTGTGGAACATAAATGGAAGTAAGGCTTTTGTTTGAGTATAACACACTAGAGCTAGAGCTTTTCCTGTCTGGTGCAGTATGAATTACAATGCGACCTTAAGCGCCATGAATACAGACATGTAATCAATGTTCAAATCAAGATGTATTGGTGTTAGTGAAAACGAAACAAAGGCATGGCTAACTAAACACTTGCACGTATGTGACCAAGGTCTGTCCCAGATTTCACCATCTGGAAATAAACTCATATTAATCATCTGACCCACTGTCAGTCAAAGATTAAGGTCATCCCACTGGAAGATAAACCACTCCTGCGTGAAGCAACACACAGCTAACAAGACAATCAGATGATCATCCGGCACACCGTGTTCAAGGGACTCTTGCCGTCAGACAAGTCAATGTCAGACCAAAAACTTTTTCAAAGTCACAAAAAGATTATAAAACACCCTAAACTCATACTCCGAGTTTACAGCTAATATACGTGTGGGTTACGAGGGCGGTTTCAGTGTTTTACTACATCTTATGTTTCTGATTCGCTTGCTAAGAAAAGTGAGTTGAGCAGGAGAGTGATAGCTTCCCCAGCTAGCAGCTCCCGTTGAGTTGTGACGTTAAAGGGGGCAAAAGCTAGCTGCTAGTGACTCGTGTTGGATAGTTATTAAGTCAATGACCACGCAACTAAACACGCCTCGTTATAATGTTATCGTTGTCGGGGCTGTAAGAAAACGCCTGAACATTATAACAGATTAGCCAGAAAAAGTACGGTTGCCACTCCAACACACCCGCCATCTTGTGCTCTTATCAGAGATCTGACATCGCCATAACAACGGTCTGCTTTGGGAAATGAGCTAGCAACCACTTTCATCACAGACTAGATCGACCACTCTCACTTTAACGCTGACGGTTGTACAAACAAGCACACACATATACTAGGAGAAAATTAAATTATAATTCTTAAATAGTTTACTTTTTCACCTTTAATGTATCCCAATAGTGTCCTTTTTAGTCGTTTGAGCTTTTTTTCCTTAGATTTAGGCTGTTGTTGTTGTTGACTCCCGTTGCTTGGTTCTTGTCGCCAGGACTACCGTGACTATGGCGCCTTGCCTTCACCGGGGCAACTGTTGCTACCCTCCCATCTTCGCCCCGCCATACACTAAATGCTGATTGGCTGACCTGGGAGGTGGTCGCCGCGTCAGTAAAATAATCTATCGTTCATTGGTAGACAGTGCCTGTCTGTCACTTTTGCCATAGTCGAACGTCAGATGACCACGATTAATGTTACTTTTATGATTGCTCAGGAAATCAAGCAGATTAATAGATTATACATTTCTAATATAATGACATTTTATTCACTAGATAAAATGTTTTGCTACTGCCACTTATTATCTTTTTGCTTTACGTTAATTCAGAGTTTGGTACTATTATATATGTATATTGAATATAATTGTTCTTCTAAATACTGTGAACCTTTACACATCCTGAACAACTATTATAGCACATTCTTAGCCATCTTACATTGCACATATTTCTTTAAAAAAATCAAATAGTATTTCTAAAATGTTTTTGTTTAATTTGTTCCTATTCTATATTTATTGTCTATATGCAAATAGGCCAAAGCAAATTCCTTGTGAGTGGAAACCAGTTTCTGATCCTTATCTCCGCCACTCTATATAAATAATTCAAAGGTGCAACATTTAGAAGTTCACGATTGATTTGAGTCACTGTAGTATTGCCAGTTGCCCTCTGATATCTCTCATGTAGGCCTGTGTGTGTGCCACTTGTAGTGAACACCAAGATATAGCGCCCTAGTTATCTTCGAGGTTAGTTAGATAGTGATTTCCATCCAATGCAGGGAAGAGCAGATAGCAAGACAGAGTTTTGTGATGACACACACAGCCCAACCCATTAGATGCAAGGGACAGAAAGGCCAGCAAAAGGTCACAGGTGATTCGATAGCTAAACGCTGTGTTGACATCCCTTCTGGCATCATGGCTACTTTATCGCAAGTTTTCCTTTTTTCGTTTTGCATTGTTGCCCCAAAAGGTCCATGTTCTTATCTCTTTGGGCATGACGTAGAGGTAAAGTGAGTTGAGGTTCTTCTCTGAGATGGTGAGGCTTATATATGGTGGGAGCTGCCCAGAAAGAAAGAAACACCTCAACCCGCCTTTGAGACACCTTACAGCATCTTTTTACTCTCACCATGTGGAAGGCAGCTCTCTTGACCCTGGGCTTGTTGGCGGTGCTGGTGGACAGGGTTCGGACCAATGATGGTCATCCCTCTTTCTACGGGGTGAAACTGTGTGGAAGGGAGTTCATTCGAGCTGTCATCTTTACCTGCGGTGGTTCTCGCTGGAGGAGAGGCATAGAAGACCCAGGTAAGCATTCATGATCATATAAATAATATGTTTGATATGTTATGTTTTTATATTTAGAAATGTGCCCTTCCTTTTTTGATCAGCTCTCATTGGAGAAGAGGCATATGACCCATGGAACACAAATGCCATCCCTCAACTCAATGGGGAGCAAGATCCTGCAGAGTCCCAACAAGCATGGAGAGATCAAACATTGAAAGCTGCATCTGTTGGATTCAGCCGCTCATCACGCTCACCAATCTCAGAGGAGGTGCTGGAGGCTCTACGGAGTGCAGATAGGAAAGGACGAGATGTGGTGGTCGGACTGTCCAACGCATGCTGCAAATGGGGCTGTAGCAAGAGTGAAATCAGCTCTCTCTGCTGAACCTTTTTTCTTAAATATGTTCCTGTCTAAAATGCAGAGCTCTACTTTTTTCATTTGTGATTCTTCACATGTAGAATTCCAGATCCCATCCAACTCACTTGAGTGCATGTGATGATGACTATTGATACAGGAATGTGAATGTGTATGTGTTAACTGTGTATTGACATGTATAATTCAATAAAGCTTTGTGTTGTTGGTAAGAAAGTCTCTGTTCCTCTCACTAATGAAAAAACTAAAATTATTTCATGCTGTTGGAACACTTCCACTTTTCTAAAGCATGGTTTCAGAAAAACTGATTTGTCAAGGATTTCGAAATGAAAGGAAGTGGTTTGTGACATTGATGAATACACAGAGGGGCCTCTGACTGAATTATAGTTGCTCTCTGTGATTTTACAGGGGTTAGACATAGACACCACATGTGACACATTTAGACCTGTAACATACTGCCTCTTTGGAGCCTATATTGTTGGCCTTTGGTTGTTTTTTTACGTGTGTTCATGGCAATTTGCTCATCTTCCAACAGATATGAATTACACACCTTCACATTCATGTTGGAACACACTGACATAAAACTGACCTTAATTGTTGTCAGCTTGCACTAGTGTTCCTTATATTGTATGCAGGCCCTTAAGCCGTTCATGTAGATCAATAAGTCAAGTTGTACAAATGACTACACACCTTAATTAAATGCTGATGGCCATAATTTGAAGCTGACACCATCTGGTGGTCAGAAATTAAACACAACAGAAGACAATTCATCAAGAAAAACCTTATTAGATTAAATATATGATGCACCTCAATAAAAGTAGGCACTGAAACATTATGTATATGCTGTCTAACAAACTGAACTCTGTAGCTTTTCTCATAACGGTTATCCCTACAGACAGTCTGTCAAGTACGGAAGCCGAACATGATCAAACGGATCACCCGGCTTGCCTTGATTGCAAGGCATGCAATCTCTGTCACATACCAGCTAGCATAGCAACCAGACAGATCCACAGAGATCAAAAGTTTTGTATTAAGCTTCACAGATCGCCGTCATATTCTATTTAATGTTAGTCGTTACAGCGTAACTGCTCTATTATCCATACAAAGATAGATCTACCACAGCGGAGTGACCAGGTAAAATCTTTCGCGGTACTTTTAAGATGATGCTAGCTAGCATGCTAATAGGTTGTAATGCGACTGCTATGTTATGAGTAATAATGCGCTCCATATGCACCCGTCTTTGTTGATTTGATGACAACATTGTTTTGACAGCGTGGCGTGGTGTACTCATAGTTAACGTATGATAGCGTTGTGTTGCTGTGTTCGGTGTCAATCTGTTACGTGTGAAGTATCATAACGATGCTAAGCTAGCTTGTTAGCTGTGGGAGCCAGGCGTTAGCGTCTCTGCCGTCTGGGCCTCATTTGGAAAACCCTGTTCTGATTGTTGATGATTGTTGTAGTGGTTATTTATCAATGCAACGGTTACTTACTAACTAATTGACAACCAAATAGTGGTCGTTTTAGGTTTCCTGTATCCAGAAACAGAACATGTTCATCAACATTGACGCTGTTACGTTTCCACATTGTAGACACTGATTTACATGAGTACGATATTTTCTCTAACATTAAGATTGGAAAGTTAACAGCTAACGTTAATACCGTTATTTGAATTGGTTGTTGCTATGCGGGTTGTTCTGTAATCATTACTGCGTAGCTTACGTTACTTCTACGTGATTTGAGTAGAAACGTGCGCAGCGTTGAGGTCACAGGCTAGTTAAATGCTTACATCTACAGTCTATGGTGCTATGCAGTAGCATTCCTCATAAACAGGTTTGTGCCCTGTAGGATGGAGTGGCAGCCAGATGAACAGGGTCTGCAGCAAGTGCTTCAGCTACTCAAGGACTCCCAGTCCCCAGACACAGCAACACAGAGAGCTGTGCAAGAAGTATCCTTCAAACTGTGTGTATGTGTGTGTTTGTGAGGGTGAGAGAAATAGGTGTGAGATTTAGCTTCACGATTGAGAGCTTGTGTATCAAAGTGGGTGATAATGAAAACTGAGTTGGTGTGTTGTCATGCGCAGGTTGCATCCTGTGCGATTGTATTGGTTCATGCTGCCCAAAATATGTCAAACAAGGTGATTGGGAGTAATGTCAAATGGTTGAACTCCTTAACATCGCCTTCAGAAACTCGAGCAACTCAACCAGTTTCCAGACTTCAACAACTATCTCATCTTTGTCCTTACAAGCCTCAAATCTGAGGGTATGTATGTGCACGTCAAATCAATTGCGCAGTTATTTCTGTATATAATCTCCAATTTCCCATTTCCCTATCTAAAAAATGTATGTATGCTCTTTTTCTCTGTTGCCCTCCCTCTTTAGATGAGCCCACTCGCTCTCTGAGCGGTCTGATACTGAAGAACAATGTTAAGGCTCACTACCAGAACTTCCCTCCCAATGTGGCTGAGTTCATCAAACGAGAATGCCTCAACAATATCGGAGACCCTTCACCGCTCATCAGAGCTACCATCGGTGGGTGTTTGAGTGAGAAAAATAAAACTAGTGCAGTTCATAGCCAGTGTGAGTCAGACTTCCATGTAGGTGGTTTGATTTTTTGCAGGTAATGTGGCTGCGTGGGAGCAAGTGCTGCATTTTAATAAGTAGTTTTGAATCATGGAATGCAATTTAATGACTCATTTTTAAAGGGACACTTTACTCACTTTGTTAAACCTGCATTCCTGAAGAAAACTCTTTCCTTACAAACCTCCATTGTGATAAGGAACCCAAGGGCAAAAACAGTTTTGATGAATTTGAAGTAAATGGAGTTAGGTTTAACAACAGCAAAACTGAATAAAAAAATCTGTGTACAGACTTTCACTAAACGTCTGAAGGATGCATACATTTACTGGTATTTCTGTTAGAGTTTATATTTCTCTGGAATCAAATTATACAGTACAGGTGTGCACCACTGTTTTGTTTTGACTAAAACTGTGTTTAGTTGTACAGCCGTGTTGCAGAAAGACAATAAATAATCTTCAATAACCTTTTTTAAAAACACTATGAATGAGTAGCATCCCTTTTAATCCACGCTGAGGTTTGAATGGCAAGGTTTTAGCAAAAATGGGAAGTAGTGAGCGAGCATACGACTGGATAAATAGAACATGGTTGTGTAAGAGATGGTAAAGAGGTGTTTTGATAGATTCCTTTAATTCAGCAGAAATGTTCTTAGTTTTTGGAGATGTACTGCGATGCCTGAGTTATTCTTGCATAACCTTTCTATTATCTTATCATCCAGGTATCCTGATCACGACCATAGCCTCTAAAGGAGAGCTGCAGACATGGCCAGAGCTGTTGCCTCAGCTCTGTAATCTGCTCAACTCGGACGACTATAACACCTGCGAGGTCAGGCTCATCTGCCTGCACGCACACACACACACACACACACACACACACACTTACTTTGCAGTGTTATTTCAATAATCCCTTTTATATCTTTACTTTTGTTTGTAACATTCCATCTCTATGGTTTTTCTCTACTTTCCAGGGTTCTTTTGGCGCATTGCAAAAGATATGCGAGGATTCCTCAGAGTTGTTGGATAGCGATGCTCTGAACAGACCCCTCAACATCATGATCCCCAAATTCCTACAGTTTTTCAAACATTGCAGCCCCAAGATCAGGTTAGTTAAACAACCATAATTTCCCCTTGACTCTCCCTGTCAGAATCATCATAACATGTTTTTCTCTCTCTCAGGTCCCATGCTATAGCCTGTGTGAACCAGTTCATCATTGGTCGAGCTGAGGCTCTGATGGACAACATTGACACCTTCATTGAGGTGAGCCCTACAGGAAACATGTTGATTTAACTTCCATTGTTTTTAGACCTTGACACGGAATATGTTAGAGCTCATTTATGTGTTAGTTACGAAAAACAATTGTTAAAGATACTTGCACGTTTTGTAGGGATGTAACGATATACCGAATATCGCGGTAAATAAACGTCCCAATACCGTCGTGAGACTGACAAAATCTACCAAGATTAAAAAATAAATACATTTTTTAAACACTTTTTTTTTTAAAAACCTTTATTTAACCAGATGGTCCCATTGAGATCATCAATCTCTTTTTCAAGAGAGCCCTGTCCAACATGGCAGCAAGTAGGTTACAACATGAACATAAAACAACAGAACACAAAAGGACATCGTATTTACAGGGCTACATTTACACACCTAGAGACATTGACAAGTACCAACAGTATATTTATATCTCGCCCTGTCAATAAGCCTCACCTTCTTGGCAAAAACTGTATTGTTTTTGAAGTGGTGGAGAGACAATGCACAGTTTGACCCACTGCTGTTGCCCATGGCCAAAGCATATCTCTCCGTCCCACTGAGGTGGCGTTAGACTTTTTCGCTGTCCGTCACCTCGCGGGAGCGCGCACAGCGTAAAGCAAAACCTCCCAGACATGTATTGATCTGTACGATTTGGAAACTATATAATTTCCTTTTGGAGGGCATGCATAACACGGCATAACACCAGAGCCTCGCTGCGGGGAAACGTTGGCGCTGTTCCGAGTTTGTTCTAATCTGTCAAAATGACAGACTGCTTTCAGATTTTTCCATCATTGTTAAATAAAATATTCGGTTAACGCGACCACTGCTGTCCCAGCAACATCAGTACCAAGCGAGAGAGTTTTTTCCAGAGCAGGGGATATTGTAAACGCCCAAACATCCCAGCTTATAAATACCTGGAAATGTGGACATTCTCATATTCCTAAAAACCTGTCTGATGATGCTGAGTGAGTGACTAGTGAGTTTGAGTTGAGTTACTTGAAAAACTAAAGTGACACTTGATTTATTTTATTGCCGGGTCTGATTATTAAATGTCCTTGTTTATTTGTGAGATGCAGTGGCACAAAGAAAATGCCTACTTTGTTTGGTAGTAGGTACAAAAACACTGGTTTTCTTGTTCCAGTCTGTTACTGTCACTTTGTTTTTGACACTTTAAAATACTGCTATCCTACTCAAATGCTGTACAAATCAGATTTATTATTTAATAAAGAAACATTTTTCGAGTAAAACAATGTTTTATTAAAAAAAATTTTTTTTACATATTTGTTTTCCCCCCTTTATTATTCAATATCGCGATAAATACCGTACCGTGGACTTGTTATCGCGATATTATCGTACCGTGAGTTTTTGGTGTCGTTACATCCCTAACGTTTTGTTAAGCAGGATAATCTTAAAAAGTGTTTAAGCGTAAATGCAATTGCCAGAAGTAAAAAGCTAAAATATGGCAAAAATTGAAAAACACCATGGTCATCTGTAGTTTAAATTAGCCCCTTGATAGAAATTGCCTTTATTAAGATGCGTAAAAGCTACACAGATCGCAAGTCGGGCATTTACTGATGATTTATGTCGTACGACAAACGGGATATCTCAGGCATCAATCAAAAAACCCATTGACTTTTAGACATATTAAAAAAAAAAAAAAAAAGTTCAATATTCACGTTAGTTTGTATTGGCCAGCCAGACTTGTATCATTAATGACTATGAAGACATGGTGGGGTTAGGGGCGAGACCTTGAAACCCTGTTCAGGTCATTTGATCTGCTTTCAAAGTAATAATAGACTTCTTCTCTTTGTTAACAATTTTTCCCCTTCTCCCTCTTCTTTATATCCAGAGTCTGTTTGCGCTGGCCGGTGACGAGGACAGTGAAGTGCGGAAGAACGTGTGCAGGGCTCTGGTCATGCTGCTGGAAGTCCGCATCGACCGCCTCATCCCACACATGCACAGCATCATCCAGGTGAGGGAGGGACTTGGAAAGACGGATAACATTTGTCCTTCCCTTCCTCGTGAATCTCATCCTCACCACCTGTTGTTGTCTGTCTCCAGTACATGCTGCAGAGGACCCAGGACCCCGATGAGAACGTGGCTCTGGAGGCCTGTGAGTTCTGGCTGACCCTGGCTGAGCAGCCCATCTGTAAAGAGGCCCTGTCCGGCCACTTGGTCCAGTAAGTGCTCACACTGCATTTTTGGTCAGTTTACCAAATAAGTGTCTTGTAGGAATTATATTGTTTTTCCCGTCTATTTATTTATAGATTGACCCCTATCTTGGTGAATGGGATGAAATACTCTGAGATTGACATCATCCTTCTAAAGGTGAGCCTCCCCTGTGTGAATCGGATCTTCCTAGCTTCTCATACTTATTTTCGTCTCTTCCTTTTATCACCTTTTCTATCTGTTATCTTCCAGGGTGATGTTGAAGAAGACGAGGCAGTGCCCGACAGCGAGCAAGATATCAAGCCTCGCTTCCACAAGTCCCGCACTGTCACGCTGCAGCACGAAGGGGGGGAGGGCGAGGAGGGCGAGGACATCGATGAGGATGATGACGATGACGATGATACACTGTCTGACTGGAACCTACGTACGTTAGAGTTATCCTCTCTGGTGGCCATGTACAGTGGGGCAAAAAAGTATTTAGTCAGCCATCAATTGTGCACGTTCTGCCACTTAAAAAGATGAGAGGCCTGTAATTTTCATCCTAGGTACACTTCAACTATGAGAGACAGAAAAAAATCCAGAAAATCACATTGTCTGATTTTTAAAGAATTTATTTGCAAATTATGGTGGAAATTAAGTATTTGGTCAATAACAAAAGTTCATCTCAATACTTTGTTATATACCCTTTGTTGGCAATGACAGAGGTCAAACGTTTTCTGTAAGTCTTCACACTGTTGCTGGTATTTTGGCCCATTCCTCCATGCAGATCTCCTCTAGAGCAGTGATGTTTTGGGGCTGTCGCTGGGCAACACAGACTTTCAACTCCCTCCAAAGATTTTCTATGGGGTTGAGATCTGGAGACTGGCTAGGCCACTCCAGGACCTTGAAATGCTTCTTACGAAGCCACTCCTTCGTTGCCCGGAGGGTGTGTTTGGGATCATTGTCATGCTGAAAGACCCAGCCATGTTTCATCTTCAATGCCCTTGCTGATGGAAGGAGGTTGTCACTCAAAATCTCACGATACATTCTTTCCTTTACACGGATCAGTCGTCCTGGTCCCTTTGCAGAAAAACAGCCCCAAAGCATGATGTTTCCACCCCCATGTTTCACAGTAGGTATGGTGGTATTCTTTCTCCTCCAAACTGTTGAGTTTTTACCAAAAAGTTCTATTTTGGTTTCATCTGACCATATGCCATTCTCCCAATCCTCTTCTGGATCATCTAAATGCTCTACTGGACATGTACTGGCTTAAGCAGGGGGACACGTGACGTCTGGCACTGCAGGATTTGAGTCCCTGGCGGCGTAGTGTGTTACTGATGGTAGCCTTTGTTACTTTGGTCCCAGCTCTCTGCAGGTCATTGACTAGGTCCCCCCGTGTGGTTCTGGGATTTTTGCTCACCGTTCTTGTGATCATTTTGACCCCACGGGGTGAGATCTTGCGTGGAGCCCCAGATCGAGGGAGATTATCAGTGTATCAGTATGTCTTCCATTTTCTAATAATTGCTCCCACAGTTGATTTATTCACACCAAGCTGCTTACCTATTGCAGATTCAGTCTTCCCAGCCTGGTGCAGGTCTACAATTTTGTTTCTGGTGTCCTTTGACAGCTCTTTGGTCTTGGCCATAGTGGAGTTTGGAGTGTGACTGTTTGAGGTTGTGGACAGGTGTCTTTTATACTGATAACGAGTTCAAACAGGTGCCATTAATACAGTTAACGAGCGGAGGACAGAGGAGGCTCTTAAAGAAGAAGTTACAGGTCTGTGAGAGCCAGAAATCTTGTTTGTTTGTAGGTGACCAAATACTTATTTTACCGAGGAATTTACCAATGAATTCATTAAAAATCCTACAATGTGATTTCCTGGATTCTTTCCCCCCATTCTGTCTCTCATAGTTGAAGTGTACCTAGGATGAAAATTACAGGCCTCTCTCATCTTTTTAAGTGGGAGAACTTGCACAATTGGTGGCTGACTAAATACTTTTTTGCCCCACTGTATATTTTAAGATGGCTTTTTTTTCAGCTATAACAACTACAATCTACGCTTTGATTTTGCAGTGCATATTTACATAATGTTGATGTACTTCTTAGTTTTTATATGTTCCACAAATGTTGTTTTCAATATTGAACAGAAAAGCCAATACAAACATACATCAACAACAACAACAACAACAGTGTGGCACATACAGTGTAGAAACAGTAATACATTAAAACAAATAACAATAGAATGAGATTGAGGGGGAACGTACAGCTACCAATCCATGTAAATAAAAGATAATGTGTTTGTCTTACCATGTCTGAAGTTGGCTTCTCTAATGCTGTGATGTGCCAGTGTTTCCTCAGAGTATTTTCCCTTTTTCCAATCTAATGCCGATGGGTCTTTCCCCCTGCAGGGAAGTGTTCCGCTGCGGCTCTGGATGTTCTTGCCAACGTGTTCCGTGAGGAGTTGCTCCCACATCTCCTGCCGCTGCTCAAAGGACTGCTGTTCCACCCGGACTGGGTCATCAAGGAGTCTGGCATCCTCGTGCTGGGAGCTATCGCTGAGGGTGAGAGACAAAACCCTGCAGTTTACTGTAGTCAATTGCTAGTCCTAACCAAAATAGTCATACACCCATCCTCCTTGTAAATATATGTTTTCACTCCAGTCTTTGTAAGAATAAAACCAACTAACCTTATAGAGGTTGGTAGGTCCTCTTTGTTAGCTTTGGACAGAGCCAGACTAGCCGTTACCCCTGTGTTCATTTATTATGCTAAGCTAAGATAAGCTAACCAGTAGCTTTGCGCTTGGCATTGCTCTTCTGATCTAACTCTATTAGCACATTAGAGTATTTTATTCTACTGTATATGATTGAACTGTAACTTCTTTTTTTTAGCTAACTACGCTGTAGCCGTTGCGTATATGACAGTGAAATTGAATCTTGAATCCAAGCAAGAAAGCGAATTAAGTGTTAAGTGAAAAAGTGGCCACCTTTTTGAAGACTTATAAAGCTGTTTTCGTCTCCAGGCTGTATGCAAGGCATGGTCCCGTACCTGCCTGAGCTCATCCCCCACCTCATCCAGTGTCTGTGCGACAAGAAGGCCCTGGTCCGCTCCATCGCCTGCTGGACCCTGAGCCGCTACGCCCACTGGGTGGTCAGCCAGCCCCCTGACTCTCACCTCAAACCCCTCATGACCGAGCTGCTCAAACGCATCCTGGATGGCAACAAGAGGGTACAGGAAGCAGCATGCAGGTACAGATAAGACATTTCCCCATATTTCCTGTGTGTTCTCTCTCTTTGCTCTTACATTTTGTCTAACCCCGACTCGTTTTCCCTACAGTGCGTTTGCCACCCTGGAGGAGGAGGCGTGCACAGAGCTGGTTCCTTACCTGAGCTTCATCCTGGACACGCTGGTTTTTGCTTTTGGGAAGTACCAGCACAAGAACCTGCTCATCCTCTATGACGCCATAGGGACATTGGCAGACTCTGTGGGACACCATCTCAACCAAGAAGTGAGTTCAACATGCACACATTAAATGAGCTCCTTTGTCTGTCATGTATTGTCCCTTTTTTTTTTTTTTGGTAAGGGGAGAAAATGAATCCCACACTTGTGTTTTCAGGAGTACATACAGAAGCTGATGCCTCCGCTTATAGCCAAGTGGAACGAGCTGAAGGATGAAGATAAAGATCTCTTCCCTCTGCTCGAGTGTCTGTCGTCCGTTGCCACGGCGCTGCAGAGCGGCTTCCTCCCATACTGCGAGCCTGTCTACCAGCGCTGCGTCACCCTGGTCCAGAAGACACTGGCTCAGGCCATGGTGAGCCACACACACACACACACACACACACACATAAATTCACACACTGCAGTAACAGTCTGTTTCAGCTGTTTTATATCATTTACATAATTAACACTTTCCCCCCCTCTGACCCTTTCTCCCCCCCCCTGTGTTTCTCAGATGTACAGTCAGCAGCCTGACCAGTACGAAGCTCCGGACAAGGATTTCATGATCGTGGCTCTGGATCTTTTAAGCGGTTTAGCTGAGGGACTGGGGGGCCACGTGGACACACTTGTGTCCCGCAGTAACATCATGACACTGCTTTTCCAGTGCATGCAGGTGAGGATAGCCTGTGTGTTTTTGTGTGTTTTTGTGTCCCACACAATTTTAATGAGTTTTTCTTGCACTTGATACAATCATTGAGCTGACACTTTAGTCTGAAGTGAGTTGATTTCAACTCAAAGGGAAAATAAATTGCATGACATAAAAATGTGACCCAACAAATGACCCACGGTGTGTTAGATTAGCATTGCCACTGCTATTTATTCATGATGTGTGAGATGGAGCTGGTCAATTGTTTTAAGATTTGGTCTAATTGAACTTTAACTAATTGAATTGACACTTGCACACACGCAGCACCTCACTGGCCTCCGCTCATCCTCAACTATGAAATGTCACAACCGAAGTGTCTGTGTTTAGCATCCAATTTCTAATACTTAAACAATGTTTTGGCAATATCTTTATGCCCCACTGCTGATGGTGATTATGTTTTCAGGTTTTCTTTCCTAACAATTTTTAGTAAACCTGAGATCCCCAAAAACTTCTCTCAGGGACTTAAGGGCCTAGAACTTTGCCATATATTTCAACCACCGACACTTGACCTTATATGGTGGGAATGTAATATTGTTTCTTTTTAAACAGGTCATAATCCTGTGACTCAGTGGTCTGGTCAATTTCCAGTCTCTGTTAATGGTGCGTGTTCACATTTCTCTTGGTCTCTCTTGTCTCTTCTGTCCCAGGATACGATGCCTGAAGTGAGACAGAGCTCATTTGCTCTGCTGGGCGACCTGACCAAGGCTTGCTTCCCTCATGTCAAACCGTGTATTGGTAATTATCTCTCTCACTCTCTGCCGTTGCAAATATATTACTCCATCTTCCTCCTTTCATTTGCCTGTTCCTAATGCCAACGTTTGACATGTCCTACAGCTGAATTCATGCCGATCCTCGGGACAAATCTCAACCCGGAGTTCATCTCCGTCTGCAACAATGCTACCTGGGCCATAGGAGAGATCTGCATGCAGATGGGTGCGTTTGAGCAAATGCATTGTTTTCATGTGATGCAGTTCTGTGCTTGTAAATAAGATAATGGTTCTGTGTCTCTGTCAGGCGTGGAGATGCAGCCATACATCGCTATGGTTCTGAGCCAGCTGGTTGAGATTATTAATCGACCCAACACCCCTAAGACCCTGCTGGAGAACACGGGTACAGACGTTTTGTAATACTTGTTTTACAAAGGAAAGTAGACAGATGTTATAGTTATATGCAGGGTTGGGCAGTAACACACTGCATATTATCAAGAGCCCGTAATCAGAAATACTAGATGTAAGTCAATATGATCAATGCAAATCCAATTTCAAAGAATGTGCCATTAGATTATAATTCCACTGCCAAAGATTACTCGATAACATTTATCATGTTCTTTCAAATATGGAAGCTTTTAAAATAATTTTTCAATGTTTGATTTTTAAGTCATCCAAAAGTCATCAAAAAAGTGAAGTGAAATGAGCGCAGGTAGTGTCAACTCGTCTCTAACAGCAGTCCTGACCCCCCTCTCTCTCTCTCCTCCAGCGATCACCATCGGTCGCCTAGGATACGTGTGTCCTCAGGAGGTCGCGCCCGTGCTGCCGCAGTTCATCCGACCCTGGTGAGTGCATGTTACATCTCTTTTTCTGTGTCTATTATTCCAAATGATGTGCCATCTTTCGTGGTGTGATTTTACTTTACAACATCTGCCCCCAGTCTTCTTCGGTGGTGTTTTTGTACATCCTGCTCTTCTTCGGTTAGCTCTTCTGTACTTGCAAAACACGTCTGCGCCAGTCCTCAGGCAATACACTTTCATTCCTGTTCTTATTTTCTGCTTTGTGTGATCACATTGATGCAATGACTGCATATCATGAGCTGCCGTTCTTTAAAATCCGGCTTCTCTCGCACAAGAAAACAATTAAATTAGCAAGCAGCAGGAACTAAAGTCTAGGAGTCATTTCAAGCTTTAAAATGTCCTCCCACACGGCAAGATAAGGACAGGCTGTTTTTATTTAACCTTTAGAAGATATTAAGAATCAAGCATGAAAGTGCAAAATTAGCCATGGAAGAAAAAGCTTCATGTTTCACAAATATTTAGGTCTGCTGTCCATTCTAATTCTGGCAAAGAAACAATCAAAACTGTTCAGAAACAGCAGGTCAGAATGAAATGGAAGATTTGAATGTTTTTACTTTAATGGCTGCTTATTGTTTAATATTTCCCTGCTGCAGGTGTACGTCTCTGAGGAACATCAGAGACAACGAGGAGAAAGACTCTGCCTTCCGCGGGATCTGCATGATGATCGGTGTGAACCCAGGAGGCGTGGTGCAGGTGAGACATTCACCCTGTGGGCTTTAAGTCATGGCGCTCTCTATGCATTTCCCTGTGTCACCTGTTGATGTTGAAACCTTCTCCCCTCTTCCTCTGTGTCTGTTCAGGACTTCATCTTCTTCTGTGACGCAGTGGCCTCCTGGGTGAGCCCTAAAGACGATTTGAGAGACATGTTCTATAAGGTGAGGGTGATGCACGAGTGGATTGATCAGGGGTAAAGTCCAGGTCATATTGAGGAGCAAGTTTCACATCTGAAAAAAAAGAAGCAGATTTGAACTCGCCATGTTGTGTGAGTCACTGCGAGGGAAAGAGAAGCAGTGTGTGTTCACCTCAGCCACAAGGACACTGCTGTTGTTCTGCAGAACAATGAAGAGAACACACTCCCCCTCACATCATATATCTGCAAAATCCAACAAGACATATATTTACACTTTGGAGAATCTCTGTTTTAATGTAGTTCTATAATATTCCTTTACAGACATTTAAGTGTGTGTTGGCGGCAGAGTGAATCCATAAAAGGGCAAATGAACCTCATAGCCTGTTCTGTATCAAGAAGCTATTTCTGTTTGAAGTGACAGTGCCTTTGCCCCAGTAAGGAAAATGTATGGTGCACTTATTCCTGTGGCTGGAGCAGCGACCTGTTGGGCTGCTTCCTGACACCATCAGCATTTTAAAGCAATACTCTCTTCTTTTGCCCAGCGATGCTGTGACCGGCAATTTAGCTATAGGTACACTAGGACAATAAGTATGATGATGTTAATAAGTTGTCTTTCAGTTTTGCCACTAAAAGACAACATTGGCTAAAGAGCTGCTTTAAAGAAAATGGGTCACCCAGCACAATATAAACTACAATGATGAACTGACTTTGTTTTTATAATGCCCAAGTGTGCAAAAACACAAGGTTAAGAACTTATTTGAAAAGGGAATGATGGAAGGTGGTAATTATTGGTTAGTGGTGTCAGCTGAAAAAAGTCCATATTGTGGGTGCTAGTGACTTACCGCAGAGGTTGACGGGTAAAATGGACTTGTATTGTCACTGGCCCCACCATTGTAACTAGGGGTGCACCGAATGGGAAATTCTTGGCCGAAACCGATACCGAAAATAGGAAACAGTTGGCCGAATGCCGAAAGGCCGAAAATGATTAATATAAATATATATATATATAATGTATACATTTTTTACCAATGTTGTTCAGCTACCTGATTATGGAAATAGACATGATTATGGCAAAACTTAACTTAAATAATAATCACTATTATGGGTCCATAAAACATTTATTCAGCACTTTTGAATGCATACAGTACATTTATATATGTCATGTATTATTGCTAAAAAACATTATATCGCAGTCTTAGTGTCGCCAACTCGTTTCTAATATGCAAAGACAACAAATGCGTCTATGATGTATTTTCGATCAGACGAGATCTCTCTCTCCCCGTCTGTGTGCGAGGGGGCGGGGCAGTTTACACACACGCAGCTGCTACATGCAGCGGAGCACACTGCGGAGATGGCGGAGAGAACGCGCTCCGAGGTGTGGTTAAACTTTACCCGTCTCGATGTGGAGAATACTTGTTACCATAAGTGCAATAAGAGTTTAGCATGTAAGCACGAGCAATTTGTCTAAACATTTAGCAAAAGTGCACCGCATGCAGACGGAGGAATGTACCGGGTTCGACCGTCTTTCTAGCAGCTCTGTAGCCCCATCCACGAGTAACGTTTCCACGTCAGGTGTTATGTATGCTAGCAGCAACACACGGAGTTAACTACATGATACAAACATGGGTTAATGATTAGAGGTAATTGAGTTATTTAGTTTGTTAAAATTTCAGCTATTCTGTTTACAGTCTGTCATCAGATTATTTAATACGATTTGTTAAAGGCTCAGGGCAATCTCGATGACAAAGGTCAATGTTCCCCCCCCCCCCCCACCTGTGAGCCATCCGCGAGCATGGTCGCCGCGTCTTTATTACGTCATCACAACAACACGTTAGGTTACCAACGTAGCCTGTTCTGACATTCGGTGATATTTTTTTCGGTGCTAAAACCCTTTCGGCCGAAAGGGCCTTTTTAACCATTTTCGGCCGATAATTTTCGGTGGCCGAATATTCGGTGCATCCCTAATTGTAACCACTGGCCCGGAGCATTCGTCCAAAAGAAATCGACTAATATTGAAGAAAATTAACACATTTGTTGCAATAGTCATTTATGCACTAACTACATTACTACTTGTACTACAACATTTGAACAATCAGTTCTTCCTCATTTTCCTCAATTGTTCATATTTGGTTTATTAAAATAATGATATTGTGGTCATTGTTAAAAAATGTCTGCTATTATTATGAGTATTATTATTAATATAATGCACTTTCTGCCTTCCTGTCATTAGGAGTTAGAAATGTAATGGCTATAGATTAGATCCTTCATTATCCTAAACTGCTGGGACATTTCCCTATAGCCAATACCTTTATATTTTCTACTCTTCACTTACTTGTCAGCATAGGTCGGCATTGATGTACAGAGCCGACAGAAGACCTTGTTTATATTGGCATCATATAGAGAGGTGCAGTGACGCATCCTAAAACCAGGAAGTAAGCTGCTGGTTCCCTCGACAAAAAGCAATGGGATTTCTCCACAGGGTTTTGGAAAATAGCTGGAAATAAGGTCTGTGGAAAACAAACCTGTTTGATAAATGCACGTTTTGTTCAGCCGGATAATCTCCACATGTCTACCCTACTTTTATAATTTTCGAATCATAAATCTAATCGATAGATTATAAAAGGGTTTTAGGATGCGTCACTGCACCACTCTATAGAAGCCAACTCCATCGATCAAGCTGGCTGAAACTTTCTCTCCCTCTTCTTCTCATACTCCCTGTCACTCTCCTTTAACTCCTCCAGTGACTTTCTTTTATTTGAAGATTGTTTTTTGCCCGGCGTTTGGCCGGTTACCGCTGGTATTAAAAAAATGTTGGCGAATGGTTAGGTGGCGCGATACGCTGTAGTGAAGGAGCGCGCTCCTTCACTACAGCTGTTTGCTTTTCACCCAACAAAGACAACCGACTCACGGAACGCTATGTTGTAGCGTTGATAAACTAAACAATTTAACTAAATTGCTAGTGAAAATACCAATACCACAGGAAAACATTTTTAAAGCAATATTTTTAGTGGCCCGAGCGGGCAAGTGGAAAGTACGTTATGCTGGCCCGGGGTGTCTAAATAGTTTTTCCGGGCCAGCGGGCCATTTAATGTCGAGCCCTGCCGGTTACCGGCCGGCCCACATCGTCCGACCGGCCCACTTCAGTACCGGCCCATCGGGATTCGTCCCGATGGCCAGTCCGCCCCTGGTCTAACCCCTTGAGGATTATTTGCGGATGTGCTTGATTTAATCCCCACCCTCCCCCCTCTTCTGTCCCTCTCCAGATCCTGCATGGCTTTAAGGAGCAGGTCGGGGAGGAGAACTGGCAGCAGTTCTCAGAGCAGTTCCCCCCCCCTGCTGAAGGAGAGACTGGCAGCGTGCTACGGCGTTTAGATTCTCTACACCCACCCAAGAGGTAATCCCACACACACATCCTTGTTTTAACTCAAAGGAATGGCTGGCTGATATCGGCTTATACAAAATATCTATGTTTAAGCTTTGCCATGATACACACCAGACACTTACAGCATGTCATTATTCTAGTAAACTAATCTGAAAACCAGTGTACTACTTGGAAGTCAAATTGGTATTTGGAAAAGTGTCTTTCTAAACTTAGACTTATTATTTACACTATTCAATTTGTTCTTCTAATTACAATTTGTGTGCCATATTACAAATGTATATTTTATGTATTCATAATTGTCACTTAATAATTACACATTTTGTTTGCTGTGATTTTCATGATACATTTTCATTTTAGTATTCAATTCATTCTTTGTTAGAAGGTCACTTTTTTATTTTGAAGTTGGTTCTTACCCGCTCTTTCTATAATATTAAACATACCCTTGTACTGCAAACAAATGTGGATACAAGTTACCCTGCCCAGGTGTGTGTCTTTGATAGGAAGAGGGCGAGGAGAGCGGAATGCCAAAGAAAGTTTCTTCCTCGGTGATGTTTGAATTAATGTTTATAAGTTTGCGATATAGTCATGTACATCATTCCAAGTAGAGAAAGCCACAAGAGTATGTTAGATAAATAGCCCACCCCTACTCAAAGGTGTACACATGTGTTTATTCTGAATGAATCTCAGGGTCTGACCCCTCTTTTCTTGTCTGTCCTCTCAGGTGAGCCAGCAGGAGGAGGGTGAATGGGAAACTCATCCATCTGTGTATTGCACTGCCCTGATCTGGGGGAGGGAGAGGGACGCTTACGGCCGCTCCCCCTGACGGACGGCCCCCACGCCCTATGTGTTTGTCCATAGAGGGAGGGTGGGCGGGTGGGAGGGTGGGAAACCGGGACACCTCTAGATTAACTAGGCAGGGACCCGACACAGAAAAACTAACCGCTAGGGACAGAATAGAGAGGGACAGAGAGACGGACATGTAGGAGAGACGGAGGGATAGACAAGTTGGGATAAAGAGGGGAGGCAGCGGAGAGAGAGAGGGAGGGGAATCAGTAACATGGCAGGGAAACAGAGTCTCAGAAAAGTCTTCTACCGGGAGGACGGGGACAGTTGAGATTTTAACTCGAGAGTAACCGATAGTTTGACCAACAGACCAACACATACACTTGCAGTACATGGAACTGACTGTGGGTGGCACTCTAACTTAGACTTTTTTGAGACCTACTACATGTAGTTAGGGACAGACAGGGGTCTAAACTCTGTTCGCTTTCTAGGTGATAATCTTTCCTTTCCGGGGGGGACTAGGCTTCGATATGAATTCCTTCATCCTTAGTCATAGAATTCTACTTAGCTGTAAGATAATTCCGCCGTCTATGTTTCCTGCCGTTCATTTTGACCAGTGCTGCTTCACAGAGCTATCCATCTATCAGACATATTCCTGTCACATTTTCTACCTGATCAGAAGAGAGGAAGAAAGAGGGAAGGAGAAAAAAAGTGTCTTGACAGAAACCATTCCTCTAGGAAAGGAGGATTAGGGCTAACACATTTGTTTTCTCACCAGAGGGGAGGAAAGCCTAGACAGAAATCACATCCTTAGTCGTCCTCTTTGAGGTTTTGTGTGTGTGTGTGTGTGTGCGCGCGCGTGTGTGTGTGTGTGCATGTTCAGTTTGTAAATCCTCACTTTAGCATTCTGTGTTAAGAGTGTGAAATATATATTGTTTTTGATAAGGTACCGAGCTAAAACTTGACTCCCACCGCAATGTCCTTGGCACCTGTTAACTGTGACCAAGTGTGTTTGTGTTTGTTTGTGTTTGTTTGTGTGTGTATATGTGCGTGTGTGTGTGCAAGAGTGTGTGTCTACATGTTAATGTCTACATTCGTATTGATATCCGTTTAATGCCATATTGATATCTTAAGTAAAACAGTGATTGGCATTGTGATCTTTATAATGTTTTAAAAATTGTCCATATTATTTTTATTTTTTTGCTGCTACTGATAATTTTTGTTTCTATAGTGGACTTAAATTCGCACAATTAACGCAAAAGAAAAATTGACTTAATGCTATTTTCAGTGACTGTTAAGTTGTTTTTGCACTTTTTTTATTTTACCTTTTTTGTATGGACTTTTTTTTAACCTCACCCATACGATGTTGTGACCCTAATGTCAGCGTTTGTCATACTGTGTTGCACTGTGAAATTAAGTGTCTTTGACTGGCAAAAATATTCCAATACTAAATGGCAAATAAAAACTCTGTGAAACTGGGACTAATCCGCACTTTTACAATGACTAACTTTGCCATATTGCTGAGGTGTGTGTACGTGTGTGAGATCCTGCATGTCTGTGTGAGATCCCGCATGAGTTGGCGCGCATGAGTTCATTATTCTGGCCTATGATGAGCATGTTTTGGATAGTTAGTTCATATGTTGTGTGCGCAGTAGGGGTGCGTATTAGGTTTTGTTTGGGAAGAGTGCCCTGTGTGTGTGTGTGTGTGTGTGTGTGTGTGTGTGTGTGTGTGTGTGTGTGTGTGTGTGTGTGTGTGTGTGTGTGTGTGTGTGTGTGGTGTGTGTGTGTGTGTGTGTGTGTGTGTGTGTGTGTGTGTGTGTGTGTGTGTGTGTGTGTGTGTGTGTGTGTGTGTGTGTGTGTGTGTGTGTGTGTGTGTGTGTGTGTGTGTGTGGTGTGTGTGTGTGTGTGTGATTTACGAGTAATATGATTGCCCTTTACACACCACCTCAATTCACAACAAGAGGAGAGCACAATAATCTTAAACAATTGTAGAGCTAGGAAACTGCCAAAGAGAAATAGCCACTGAAATTAAAGAAATACAATAAAGTAGAGCTGCTGTTTCAATATTTTAGTGCATCATGATGATGTAATTGTAAAGGCAATGAATGCTTTTCAGATGAATTATGGGATATGACTTTGCCAGCAAAATGTACTACAGGGATCTTTTGTTGTTGTTTCCAGCGTGTAGCAACTGATTTGACCTGAACTGTGACCACCAAACAATTCAATCATTAATCACTTCAAATATGCGACAATCTGAAGTGTAATACTTTAATACTTATTCCACATTCTCCAAAAGTTATAAAATACATTTAGTTTTGGAATACTTAATTTAAGGTTTTTTTTCTATTTGTATAACCAATATTTTTCTAGTATCACAAACTATATCTGAAGACTAAGTGCAAATGTCCTTCTGCTGTACTGTAGTCGCCTGCTTCAGTGACAGGTTCATAAATGCAAGGAGTTGGAAGAAAAGAAGGGGGCGACATTTTAAAATACATGCAAAAATGATGGGAACAAAGAAAAAGGGAGTGATTTTCTTCTCTCTAAATTCTGTTGATATAATAAAGAGCATGATATTGTTTCAAGTTGGCAGACATACTTTGGTACGTATCGTTTTCTGTGAGCTACTTCCGCCAGTCATGTTCCCTTTCTTGAAGGTGGGAATAGAAATAAGATGCTTCAAGTTCTTTTATATGATTTATAGGTAATGTGTGTATAGTCTCTGGATTTTTTAAATAAACCATGTCATGCATGCTGAAGGCCGGAGATAAGAGCTGCCAGTGTGGTGTCTTTTGTGAGAAAAACAAGGGCTGGGGTGTATTGAAAAGGGCCAGGCCTTACATTTAAAGCTATACTTGTGTATGCTCATGGGTAGAAACCCCCATGAATGAACTCAAACCTCAAATTACACAGTTTAATATTCCAGTGGTTTCCACTTTGTGTTGTATGGGCTCTTGTGTGTAAGATTAGACGTTTTATATCTAAAAAAATATCACATATGTCTGCATTTGTTAATACTGCATGATTTAACTATGTTTTCTCATAAAACTGAGCTGACAGCTATCTCATGTCCAGTCATGGGAATCCATCATTTAATTCAGAGAGGCTTTTGACAAGAGGCTCTTGCACATCTGCTAAAGAGACATACTATTCATAACTTTAAACACATAATGCTGTCCTAACATTCAAATGAATTCATCTCATGCCTTGTAATTCAGCCACCTCATATTGGCACACTTTTAAATGCAACAATATATGATAGGTCTCAGATATATACAAAACATGTCTCTGATGTGTTTGGCTCGAAATACCAAACAGATTATGCATTGTTAATAATGCTCTGTTTCAGCCCTGTTTCAAAAGTACTGATTCTATGGCCACGCTCCTCTGCGAGATGATCGGTTTAAAAAAACGGTGTTCTAGGAGGAGATTCAGGGGATAAAGGGGTAATATGTTACCTTGGATGGTTATTGGCTAATGGTCGCACAACCCAAAATAATCTCTTAACACAGAGGGGACACATAGGCTATATTCTCTTTTTTACATAATAGGTGATCTTTAATATTAAGCCACTGGTTAACTGAATTAACACAAGATGTCTCTTCGAGTGTTTTCTTAGTCCAACAACAGTACCCTGAGGCACAGCACATTTCCCCACCAACTATATGATGGGTGAAAAGAAGAAAATCAAGAAGCTGTTATAGCGGCTTCTTGATTTTCATTTAGTTTTTATACGGAGGCCATAAGAGGTAAGTGAAAACATTTTCTTTCTTTGGTCATCCATTTTCTAAGGCAGTCTTATTTTCTGCATTTATTAGCTTATAATTACAGGTGAAAAAACTTAAAAAATACATGTATTTGTGTTTTGAGTGGGTAAAGAAATAATCTTGCCTTAAAGAAAACAAAAATGCCCTCTTGTGGCTAAAATTAATATTACAACAACTTAGAAAATGTATTTTGACCTATGATTTTGAACAAAAAAAACAAACACTTAAAGGTGGGGTATGTAATTTTGGAGAAACCAGCTCGAGTGCGCTAGAATTTGAAAATACACAACCGGAAAAAATCTGCCACTTCCTTACAGAGCCCCTCCTCCAACACACACGAACGCGCACATGACCAATGAGGGCACGAGATAAATGTGTGCACAGATGGAATGCTGACAGGCAGGTAGGCCATCCAGTTATTTTAGCCGGGCCGGCTCAGATGATTGGTCGTGCTTTTTACAGCGCTACAGTTTCCACAGATGACATTTTTTTAATGTATTATTGTCAAAGCATTTAATATATTCATTGCTATGCGGGAGGTGGAGCGTTACCAGTTGGATCTGGTTGGGCTCACCTCTACGCACAGCGTCGGCTCTGGAACCTTACTTCTGGATAGGGGTTGGACTCTATTCTTCTCCGGAGTTGCTCAAGGTGTGAGGCGCCGGGCGGGTGTGGGGATACTCACAAGTCCCCGGTTAGGTGCTTCGTTGTTGGAGTTTACCCCAGTGGACGAGAGGGTCGCCTCCCTACGCCTGCGGGTTATGGGGGGGAAAACTCTGACTGTTGTGTGTGCTTATGCACCCAACAGCAGTTCAGAGTATACGGCCTTCTTGGAGACCCTGGAAAGAGTCCTGTATGGGGCTCCTGAAGGGGACTCTTTAATCTTGCTGGGAGACTTCAACGCACATGTGGGCAATGATGGAGACACTTGGAGGGGCGTGATTGGGAGGAACGGCCCCCCTGATCTGAACCGGAGTGGTGGTTTGTTACTGGACTTCTGTGCTAGTCATGGATTGGCCATAACAAACACCATGTTCGAACATAAGGATGCTCATAAGTGTACGTGGTACCAGAGCACCCTAGGCAGAAGGTCCATGATCGATTTCGTTATCGTATCATCGGACCTGAGGCCGTATGTTTTGGACACTCGGGTAAAGAGAGGGGCGGAGTTGTCAACTGATCACCATCTGGTGGTGAGTTGGGTCGAGTGGCGGGGGAAGCCTCTGGATAGACCTGGTAAGCCCAAACGTGTAGTTCGGGTGAACTGGGAACGTCTGGAGGAGGCCCAAGTTCAGGAGGCCTTCAACTCACACCTCCGGCGGAGCTTTTCGGGCATTCCTGTGGAGGTTGGGGACATTGAACCAGAGTGGTCGGTGTTCAAAGCCTCTATTGCCGAAGCCGCGGCGGGGAGCTGTGGTCTCAAGGTCCTAGGTGCCTCAAGGGGCGGTAACCCTCGAACCTCCTGGTGGACACCGGTGGTCAGGGAAGCCGTCCGACTGAAGAAGGAGGCCTTCAGGGATTTGTTATCCCGGGGGACTCCCGAGGCAGTTGCAAGGTACCGACAGGCCCGAAGGGCAGCAGCCTCATCCGTGGCCGAGGCAAAGCAGCGGGTGTGGGAGAAGTTCGGAGAAGACATGGAGAAGGACTTTCGGGCGGCACCAAAGTTGTTCTGGAAAACTGTCCGACACCTCAGGAGGGGGAAGCAGGGAACCATCCAAGCTGTGTACAGTAAGGATGGGACGTTGTTGACCTCAACTGATGGAGTGTTAGGGCGTTGGAAGGAACACTTTGAGGAACTCCTGAACCCGACAACTCCGCCCTCTATGTTAGAGGCAGAGCTGGAGTATGACGGGGGATCAACACCAATCTCCCGGGGGGAGGTCACTGAGGTCGTCAAACAACTCCACAGTGGCAAAGCCCCGGGGGTGGATGAGATCCGCCCGGAAATGCTGAAGGCTCTGGGTGTTGAGGGACTGTCATGGTTGACACGTCTCATCAACGTTGCGTGGAAGTCGGAAACAGTACCGAAGGAGTGGCAGACCGGGGTGGTGGTCCCCCTTTTTAAAAAGGGGGATCAGAGGGTGTGTGCCAATTACAGAGGCATCACACTACTCAGCCTCCCCGGGAAAGTTTACTCTAAGGTACTCGAAAGGAGGGTCAGGCCGATTGTCGAACCTCAGATTGAGGAGGAACAATGCGGATTCCGTCCTGGTCGTGGAACGACGGATCAGCTTTTTACTCTCGCAAGGATCCTGGAGGGGGCCTGGGAATACGCTTATCCGGTCTACATGTGTTTTGTAGACTTGGAGAAGGCGTATGACCGAGTTCCCAGGGAGTTACTGTGGGAGGTGCTGCGGGAGTATGGGGTGAGGGGGTCTCTACTCAGGGCCATCCAATCTCTGTACTCCCAAAGCGAGAGCTGTGTCCGGGTCCTCGGCAGTAAGTCGGACCCATTTCCGGTGAGGGTTGGCCTCCGCCAGGGCTGCGCTTTGTCACCAATCCTGTTTGTAATATACATGGATCGGATTTCGAGGCGTAGTTATGGGGGAGGGGGTCTGCAGTTCGGTGGACTAAGGATTGCACCACTGCTTTTTGCAGATGATGTGGTTCTAATGGCTTCATCGGTCTGCGACCTTCAGCACTCACTGGATCGGTTCGCAACCGAGTGTGAAGCGGCTGGGATGAGGATCAGCACCTCCAAATCTGAGGCC